TCACGAATAAAGGCATTTTAACAATCCGAAATAATTACTGGTAAAATGACAGCAAGCCGAGCAGCCATAATCTTTGAACTAATTTTGTACACAAACTGGTATAGACTGATGGGCCACAATTGCTTCATTGTTTCCACATTTTCCACTTTAGGGACCAAGGTAAGCCACGTATGATTAAAGCTTCGAAGCATCTTACTCGTCGCAAAGAAAGAACAGACCGCTTCAATCACCGAGCCACCAACAATATCCCAGAATGTCTTAAAGAACTTGCTAGTGAAGCCGTCAGACCCTGATGCCTGTTTGGACCCCATTGAAAATACCGTGCGGCGCACTTCGTCCGGAGAGACTGCAGCTGTTAAACATGCATTCATCTTCGAAGTCACAGATCGGTCAATGGGGAGCGCAGCCACCCTCACAGCCATGTTCGGCACCTAGTTCTCAGAGGTGAACAAATGCTGGTAAAAAGTGCCAGCAATGTCAGCTTTACCAGTCTCCTCTGTTACCCAGTCACTCGTCTCCGTACGGAGGTCGTGCACAAAATTCCTTTTCCGGCGAGTTCGCATGACTGTGTGGAAATACGAGGTGTTTTTATCCCCTCTTTTCAGCCATCGGACCCGAGACTTTTGCTGCCAGTACAATTCCTCAGCCTCCCTTTGCCTAGTAAGTTCCGTCTCAAGGGTTCAAACTTCATCCCAGTTAATCGGATGAATAGATTTTATACGCTCAATTTAAGCTTGGAGAGTTCGAATGTTTCACAGGGAATTCGTCGTACCCGCCCTATTCCAATCATATAGAAGATGCCGAAGTTTCTTCAACCGTTCCCAGAGTTGGTACATCGGGGTACCATGTATGGACTCATTCCAGAGTCCAGACATTGGTCACCATGGCTTTAACCTCCGGATTGTCAGCCCAGCGAGCATCAAATCTAAACAGGGGACGACTATTTATTATGTAAGGTTTATCAGCTAAGAGCAAAGCACGATGATCCGAACCCTGATCAGTGAAATGCTTAACAAGGGTATCAGGAAACCGCTCAGTCCAATATGGGGAGCACAATGCTCTGTCGAGTCGCTCCCGGATACAGGCAAACCCCATACGCTTATTCGTCCAGGTGAAGAGATCACCCTGGTACCCAGGATCATGGAGGCCAAGTTCCTGGACGAAATTACGCAAGGCAGCGAACTGGGAAGCATTCCACAGATTACCCCCATCCTTTTCATGTTCATGTAACGTGACATTGAAGTCCCCGATAACCACGTACGTCAATTGGACCTCGTCACAAATCTCACGTAATTGAGCCAACTGGTTTCATCGAAGATTAGCTTGACAGCTGATGTAAACACAGAACACGATGTACTGAGAATCAACTTCATTAATATGAACACCAATACAAAAATTTGAATGATAAAACACCGAAGCATTGACTTCGGGGGACCAAGCTACTATTAACCCTCCCGATGCATTTACAGCATCAACAAAGAAACAATGATCAACAGAATACCCCAACCCCCTAATACGTCGAGAGACAACACGCCGGCTCGATCATGTCTCCGAAAAGAACACAAGATCTGGTTTATTAGAATGAACTAATCCTACAACAGTTTGGAATGTGAGTGATGACCCAAGTCCCCTCACATTCAGGGCCAAAAGCCTCATTTATCCGGTTGGGGCCATTCACGGCTGGCTTCCTCCACCGACTCATTCTTCTCTATTTCTTCAACAAATTGTTTTTTAGGTGTGGGTGATTCCTCCAGGCACCCTACAACCTCAAAAAAAGGTCTCTTTCGACTCCCAATCACCGGATCCAAGAGGTTCGAACCATACTCATCCACAGTAGAGCTCGATGTGCCCCCTTCTCCCTAAGAGTGCCCCCCCCCCGTCTTCACACCAGTTGGGGATTTACCCTCCATAGTGATATTAAGGCCTGATTAAAACGCAAAACCACTTGCCGGACACGACCCTTCAAACACCATTATGTCGAGACCCGACAACCCCCGGCTCACGTCTTTTTATCTCAAATGCACCAACATCATCCTCCGAAAGAGAATTTAGCGACGCGGACTCCCCCTGGGCGCGTTCAACAATTAGGCATGTATCATGAGTCTAGGTGGCATCACGGGGTGAGGGAACATTACATTTTCCCTTCAGCTTAGCCGCCCGAGTGACCGCGACTCCCGCCTCCGCACCCTTGGATTTGGATAAGCGCTTACTAGGCTTCGCAGCCACGTCCTTCTTGGTGCGAGCCCCAGCCGCTGATTCCCCACCCTGCAGACCAGCATTCACGCCCGAATCACCACCATTCGCCACGTCCAAAGGCTGACGTGCTTGCATGGGAGGGCACACATACACAATATTCGCCACCACGCCATCGTTCATCTTCTTGCCAACCAATTTGTGGAACAAAAAATCATCTTCGGAGTCCTCCTAGAGGATCAGCCTCCTCCGCCGAGAATCAGTCACTACCTTATTCTCCACCCTGGGGTTATTATCCACTTGCACCCGAATCGCTCGATTCTTCTTCCCTTTCCGAATGTCAGACGCTCGAGCTCGGGTATTACCACCCATCATCTAGCGAGTCGATTGTGTATGCACCCATCCCAGCATGGATTCGAGGTGACCTCGCAACGTGGAAACCACGCGGGCTGCTTCTCCCAAAAGCCTTTTGACTTGCATTTAGCAATGGAGCATCTCTCCCGCCTTGTACCCGCTCCTCTCGTCGGATTTGTTGGGGTCGAACCGGGTCCAGCTTTTCCCTGCCCGTCTCCCTGTCTTCCCTCCGATGGAGAATGGGACGAGAGTCCTCCCTTTGAGCCTCCGTAGCCTCACGAATCGTCTTGTTCACCCAGACCGTCTTCGGGGCCCCATCAAAAGCTTGAGCAGGTTCATCTACCTCATAAATTCGCCGCCCCGGTTTCTTTGAGACCATATGAGGTCCAAATTTTTCTTTTCTATTCGGGGGATCATATAGGCACTCACGTTTCATATGGCCCACTCTCCCGCAATGAAAGCAGAAGCTAGGCAAAAACTCATATTTGAGCGATACCCAAAACCCTCCAATCTCCTCGATAGCCGCAAAGAGTTGAGACCTCAAAGGCTTAGCAAAATGAACCATGGCTCGAACCTTCACAAAATACTCCAAGGTCTCTTTACTGGCGAAAACCCCAGCTTCCAGGACCTGGCCAATGGTTGGGGATATCAATTTTTGGGGGAACTATTTAGTGCAAAAGTCTTCCTTAACACCCCAGAGTTGAATACGAAACGGTGCGATGGCCAGATCATCAAAGGTCGTTTTGTGACAGTTGGTGTCCATGATCGCAAATTGATGAGAGTATCTCTCACGACCCAGGGGGTACGCTTCAGCACCCAGATTTTAGATTCTGTACTTGGCAGAACGAACTCAAACAGGCCATGCTTTGCCTGGGAGACTCGAATTTGGCCCCGTCCTTGCCAATGCGAATTCACAGCATCACATAGCTCCGTAATTGGCATGGCAGCTTCATTGAAAACTCTACCCAGCAGGGTTCGGGAAGATCGAAATCGTACGGACTGGACGTCCTCAAGGGAGAACTGAACAACTTGATCCTCCGTGATATGAGCCATCTCGGCAACCTGAAACAAAGTCGATGGTTGGGACCAAGTTACATTAGTTTGCACTTGGCAGCCCTTTTTTATAAGGGCATGCGAAGCTGAACCCGCCCAATCATCACCCCGGAAGGGACAAGATATTTCAGGGCGGGGAATCAAAGAGAATGGCCCAAAGGGAGGGAGGGCACGAAGCAGTCCCATATTTGAGTTTCGACCATCGTCGGGTTGTGGCAAAGAAGACAGGGCAGCCGATTTTCTGATCACTACTGGAAGCTCGCGTCCTTGGTAGGGGGAGAGCCACTGCCGAGATGTTCTTTTATAGGGGGGCTTTAACCCCACTAAACCACAAACCCACGTACCAGACTTTCCTAGCCCTAGAAGAGTTAGAGGAGGGCTAGGAGAGTTAATTTGAACTAGATTTTTAAATTGCATTTTGTTTTGGCCGGTAGACAGCAGATTAGGAGAAATCTTCTCTCCAAAGATTACCGGATCAAAATTATTCTCTTCTCCGTGTATTGCAGGGTCTGGTCGAGGAATATGAATTTTGCTAGGAACAACCTTGCTTTTCCCCCTCCGACCCAGTGGCTTGTCGCCGTCGGCGTACTCAACTGGACCCGGCTCTACCACTCTCGGCCTTTCCACCATAGCAGGAGGCGCCATCGTCCAAACTGACGATCTCGCGGCATTCTCCATGCCCAGCTCACATTCTATCGCCCCTTCGACAGACATGCTGATGGATGGAGACACTTCGTTCTCCAAATCAGACGATGATGGTAAACAAAATCGTCATCCTTTCATTTTAGAAACCCTAGGTTTCTTGGGGAGCATGGAGCTCACACCATCACCACCACTATTTTTTCGCTTTCGAAAGCTACATACAAGGTTTGTACGGCGTAGCGTATCACAAAGGCCCCGCTTGATTCCACGGTCCATTCTCGTGAGGAACTGAGGGGGACGCCGACGAACCACCGGCAGGGGCTGTACTCTGCTACAATCCCCGGAGTCTCCTTTCTTGCCATTCTTTCCTCTCGACTGCTGATTTAGAAGACTAGCACGGAGGACGACCACCACTACCCGGAACTGGAGGCGGCCAAGCCAATTTCCCAGCTCGAAGAGAGAGGACAGAGCGTCTCTCATTTTTTTATGAGGGAGACTATCTATTGTTAATTAACGATCTGGCTGCAGATATGATTGGCATTAACAAAGTCACAACTCTAATACTCATTGAATAGTATATTTAGTATTGATAATGTATGTGCTAGGAGCGTGTGGGATTGAATGGTGGAGCTATGTATGATGATTGAGATAAAAAAAATTTGCTAGCGTCGGTCAGTCTGAGCTTATCAAGTTAACATTTTAGGTCGGAATGTGAATAGGGCGACTCGTTATGTAGTGAGGATAGTCTTTGATCTTCACTTGTTCAGGTGTATTGACTTTACTTCTTGATTATTGAACCTTTCAAACATGTATCTCGTGCAATACAAGTAAATTTGTCGGAGAAAAAAACTCATTGATGGTTGATCACATGACAATGAACTGAAGTGGACTGAAAATTCTTTTTTTTTTTGTGTTTTTCATTTCTTCCTTTTTCTGAATTTTCTATACAATCGAAGGGTTCTTGAGACACCCCCTCAATTCCTTGTTAATAAAAAGGGAAAATTGCACAAAATAGGTTATCTTATTTTACTCCAAGTGCTAAGTACTCTTCGATAGTACCCTCTCGTTTCTTCTCATCTCCCGATCCCCCATCCTAACCCTCGCCGCCTGCGAAAATTCAATTCGATTAGCGTGCTTGCAACTCTTGATATGTCATAAGCACGTGTTTTGGTCTTACGCTTCACAACCATCATATGTAAGTTGCGACAATTCTGTAAGTAATCATCATTACGCGCATACAATGATTGTGAATTACTGAATGTCGATCCAACGACGTATGCATGTGCTTACACCAAGGGGCATATACACGGTAGTCGAACTCGCGGGAACTAAACATTGGAGCTATACCCAGGATGGCACACCTCCCCCTCGTATTGAGACACGTGGATTTCTGGACGTGCTGCGGCTTATCGTATTTGAATCCAGAAACAAAACTATGATTGTAATGTCATCATGGAAATGTCTCCTCACACCACGGTCGATCTTTTCCAAATCCGAGTATCTCATTTCCCTCTTTTTCGCTGCTTCTTGTAGTGCCGCCTTTAAGAGCTTCCTTGCCACACCCTGCAATCAAAATGCTATTTGTTTAAGCATCTTTTCTTATTGTGAAACAACGAAATTGGAAAAGATTTCTTGTTGTTTACTGATATGGCTTTATATTTTGATGATTTGTGGGACCGACCATATGGATAAATGATTTAAAAGTTAACTTGACGAATTTTGTCTATATCTTAGATTCAAGTCTACTATTTCGGTAAAGCTTAAACAAAGCACATGCGATGTTTAGTTAGAGATCCTACATTGCGATGAGAATTGTGTACAATGTCGACTGCTTCTTGATTGGTCAGGTGCTCCCACAAGCCGTCTGATGCAAATATTAGAAACTGATCTTCGGGAGTTAGTTTATGCACTTCGATTGTTGGCTCCGCTAGTAAGATTGGCTTTTCAAATGATTGAGATAATCTGAATTTTGCCAATAAAGGTTCACGATTGAACTCTGCTCTTTTCAAGTAAGCATCTCCTAGAGATCTTGAAACCTAAAGAAAAAGAAAAGAGAAGAAAAGTTAGCTCAATGAAACCTCTTTTATTCTACCGTATGCTACTAATAAAGTAAGAAAGATGCAAATGCACGAGTAAACAAGGCAAAAAAGCTTCCATGCTAGTTGTTGCTACTCCGAACTCACCTGGATTATCCCCTTGACACGCCAAACATTGTGCTTAGGCACCACAATCTGAGGATCATCGGGATGCAACTGTCGCAACTCCTCTCTCACAGATTCCATACTCGCGTTGTGTTCTGAAGATAACTGAACGGCCTTAACTTCCTCCTGTTGCTTCGTCGTCTTTTCGATCCTTCCTAATACCACCCGAGAATCGCCCGCGTTGGCAATGTATAGAAGTCCACTACATACTACCCCTACCAAACAACATGCTCCCACAGAAGCAATTTGTGGCTTGTTTAGCCATTGGCTCTTCACCAGACCAAGGAACTCCTCGTCCGTAGTCAAGAACGCCTTGGTGATGACATCGCTAGACATTCCACGACCCTCGGATGTAAACTCTGTGTTATGGGACAATCCAAGTACGATGGTCAATACCAGATACGAGTAAGCATCAGCTACGAAAAAAGACAAAGAACTCTGTGAAGTGAGAGAGGGAAAAAATAAAAAAACATACTCTTAATATTTTCGAAAAGGCGCTCGTTGACGAATCGGGCAGCTTCTGGACCTCCATGACCATCATAGACTCCCACAAATGTACCACGAGGTCCCGATTCGACCGAACTCAAAGGCCCGGATTCGAGTTGGCTCTGATCTTCCAGCAGATTGTTTGCTTGAATCACTGCCATGGAGAATTCCCCATTTACATGTCGCCCGAAATCTTTGTACCACAGCAATCCATCAACGCGACCTGTACTTGCATCTCCGACTCTCTTGATCGATTCCCCGTCAACAACTGGCCTCCAGCAACTCGAAACAAATCTCAGAATTGTAGTTGAAACCATCACTCACATAACCTACCTCCAACAAAACCCAGAAAGTTTAACTAGTTCGTCCCTTTGGATCGAATTTCCACGAAGCAGGGCGATGAAAACCGCTAGAAAAAGCAGGCAACCCGTGAATGATGGATGCAAAACACCGCCAATCAATAGAACTGCAGAGAGGAAAAATCAACGTTGAAACAAAATTCTCGTCGGTGAAAACATAGCGACTCTGTTCATCAACGAAACCCGGGATAATTCCCTAAATACGCATAAAAATAAATCAAATTCCTAAACTACCACACTTATAAAAAAATTTCCTAAAATACCTAAGTTTGGAGTGGTTCGAGTTTGAGAAACTCGAACTACTAAGCGGTTCGAGTGTAGAAGACTCGATCTACACGTAAATCGATGATATGAGCCTCGAACCATGTGGGGCTGAAGTGGTTCGAGTTCAGTGAACTCGAACCACTACTTTGAAATTTCCAATCACCATAACTTTGTCCTCGGCTATCCGATCGTAGCAAACTTTTTTTTCATTTCGCATAACTTTTCGAGGACTACAACTTTTATAATAGAAATATTTTCAGAATATATGTGAAAATGTTAAAATTAAAGTTAAAGTTACTACCAAAACCCCTTATATTAAAAACTATTCCTATTTTGAAAATTCATTCCTAGTAAATGTTGTAGTACTCAAAAAATTATGCAAAATAAAAAAAAACATTGTGACGTTTGGATTACGGAGTACAAAGTTATGATCCTCTAAAGTTTGGCAAAATCAAAAAATTGCTCGTTTAAGGGTAACAAATGACATTTTCTCGAGGCGAAGGCACGGGAAATTTTTTTATATATAGGAAATTTCTGCCAAAAGAGCAATATTTTTCCAAACAAGAAATTTTTGGATGGATATCTTCTTAGAAAACGTCACTTGCTACCCATAAATTAAACGAGCAAATTTTTGAATTTGTCAAACTTTGGAAGATCATAACTTTGTGCTCCGCAATCCAAACGTCGCAAACTTTTTTTTTATTTTGCATAATTTTTTAATTACTACAACATTTACTAGGAATAAATTTTCAAAATAGGAATATTTTTTAATATAAGGGGGTTTGGGAGTAACTTTAACTTTAATTTTCACATTTTCACATATATTCTGAAAATATTTCTATTATAAAAGTTGTAGTCCTCGAAAAGTTATGTGAAATGAAAAAAAAGTTTGCTACGATCGGATAACCGAGGACAAAGTTATGGTGATTGGAAATTTCAAAGTAGTGGTTCGAGTTCACTGAACTCGAACCACTTCAGCCCCACATGGTTCGAGGCTCATATCATCGATTTACGTGTAGATCGAGTCTTCTACACTCGAACCGGTTAGTAGTTCGAGTTTCTCAAACTCGAACCACTCCAAACTTAGGTATTTTGGGAATTTTTTTTATAAGTGTGGTAGTTTAGGAATTTGGTTTATTTTTATGCGTATTTAGGGAATTGTCCCACGAAACCCATAATCGGGTAAATATTTGTTCTTTCGTAGCGAGGAAAGATGGGAGTGGGGCGAATCAATCGAAATTAAAATGATACACAATTGAAAAACCCAAATGACATTATTACAATAAACAAATCAGAAGATTCCAACACAAAATGCAGGCATCCCCTTGAATCTGCCGAAAAACAGAGCACGATTTTTTACCTCTTTCAGAGACGACCCAAAGCCACCCTTGAGGAGCTCTGCGATTTTATGGCATTTGCACCCACCATTCTCAGAAACAAGAGCAGCCCAAAAGGCGAGAAAAGGGAGGAGGTGGGCGAGAATTTGCAGAATCCCTTTCCTTCCCTTGAAACAGAGGGCAAAGGGGGAAGGGGAAAGGGGGGAGAGCAATCCACCAAGGAAGAAACAACAAGGGAATACAACAAAAAAAATCGATTTTCGTTAGGATTAATAGCAAATGGTAGAATAGATTCAGGACAACATAGACCAATGGATTCACGGTAGCAGAGAGAGACGGAGAAGACGAAGAAATGAAGGGTGAGAGTTGAAGAGAAACCAAGAAAGCAAATTTCCCAAAAGAAGCAGATATAGAAATAGGGAGAGAGAAAGAGAGAGAGAGAGAGATTTGAATAATTTGAGCTGGCTCTGATACGATAAGAGCTATCTCTTCTCTTGACTTTAGACTTTTTTTTTTTTTTGGTTGAAAACTAAAAAGTGACTTTTTATTTTTTCTTCATGTCGTACTGTCACTATTGGTTTTGACTTTTTCCAGCCTATTTTTTTTATAATATTTTTCCAGCCTAATTTATTTCAATTTTTAGGAAGATTCGACTGTTTTGGTTTTAAGGAATAGGACCAATTGGTCACGATAAAAAGGATCAATTTTTTTTTAATGCAAACAAAGACTTTTAACATCATAACAAACCAAGACTTTTAACATCATAACAAAGTAACAAATCCCACTTTTTTTTTGTATCCAATCTTTGTTCATATACGTACCTTTCTTCCCTCCCTTATATAGTAAATATAAGGTTAATTAATTCAAATTGGGGAAAATATTATATTTATTTAATTTTCCATTTATACTTTGTCCATAAGTTAATTCCTCGCGGAAGAGATCATTCGAAAGTTTCCAATGATTCATTCTAATAGGTGTATCTCCTGCTTTATGTGCCTGTGACGAAATGTCTTTTTTTGTGTGTTCAAAGATGAGTGCTAAGGGGCGCTCTAACCCATTTTATTGATCCAACGGGATTCGAAAACCATAATACTATCATGGTACCGCCAATGACATAAATTGGGGAAAATATTATTTTTATTTAATTTTTCATTTATACTTTGTCCATAAGTTAATTCCTCACGGAAGAGATCATTCGAAAGTTTCAAATGATTCATTCTAATAGGTGTATCTCCTGCTTTATGTGCCTGTGACGAAATGTCTTTTTTTGTGTGTTCAAAGATGAGTGCTAAGGGGCGCTTTAACCCATTTTATTGATCCAACGGGATTCGAAAACCATAATACTATCATGGTACCGCCAATGACATAAATTAGGCTATGAAACATCCAAAACAGAGCTACCAATACTATGGGTGTAAGTTTGACCCTAAAAACCCACTGACCCGTCCCGACCCGTCTCGTCCCTGAGGGTCGGGACGAGTCAGTTTGTCTATAGGGTCAGTTTAGGGACGAGTCAGCTTTTGACCCTATAAGGGTCGGGATGAGTCGGGTCAACTTAGGCACGAGTCATTTTTTGACCCTGTGACCCCTCGCAACAACAAATATATCATACCACATTGGACTTTTTTGTAAAAGTTTTCAAAGTTTAGGTACTAATTTGCAAAAATAAAAAATTTTGGGTACCAAAATATAATTTTACCATCAAAATTTAAGGACTTGTTTGTAAAAAAATAAATTTCAGGTACTAAATTGTAAGAAAAAATAATTTTGAGTATCAAAACATAATTTGTAAAAAAAGTAGTGTGTAATTAGGGTCGACCTACTGACCCGACCCGTCTCATCCCTTGAGGGTCAGACAGGCTCAAAAAGGAAACAGAGAAAGGTCATTGCAATTTTCAGCCCTAACCAATACTCTCATATTTGCAAGATGATCCTCAACGTGGTTCTATTCACAATAGATATGGCTAATCCTGAACTCATGAAAATTCTCCAAGGGTGCGTTTGGATAAGTGTATTTTAAATGCAAGGTATTTAAAATACTAGCATTTGAAATGGATGTATTTGAAGTATTAGCATTTGAAATACATGTAATTCAAATTTATTGTTTGGATACTCATTTGTAATTTGTTTGTATTTTTGTATTTATGATTTTCAATTTCAATTTTTAATTTTCTAGTCACTTACTACAAATTTTGGTAAATTACAGTTTGGTACCTAAAATTATTTTTTCTTAAAATTTAGTACCTAAACTTTTAAAATTTTACAAAAAGGTCCTGGAATTTTGATGGTAAAATTATATTTTGGTACCTTTATATGTTTTGCCTCACACTATAGTACCTAAACTTTTCATATTTTACAAATAGGTCCATTCTTTTGTTAGGAGGTATTTCAAATCACTAGTTGTTGAAATGTATTTGAAGTTGACAAAAAATACACTAGACATGTATTTGGAAATCACCCCATGAATTTGACACAAATCCAAATACCAAATGTAATTAATATCCAAACACATGATTTGGTATTTGAAAATCCAAATCACAAATACCAAATCCAAATCCAAATCCTTGTATCCAAACGCACCCCAATAGTTTCCGGGGTTAATGGAGTCTGTCCGGTTTGAAATCCCTCATGATTTGATCCTAGACCTAGAGTCATGATTCACACTCATCGTTCCACTTGTTTGTGAGAAGGGTGGAAAAACTCAAAAATTATCACTTGCTTAGCCGTAAAACCTAAAATGCTATGGAACAACAAGATTGAGGATCACACGATGCAAACTGGATAAATATGTGGACTAAAACGAAAGTAAACAGCAGCTTCTTGGTTTAAAACACAGTCAGCAATCGGCGATTCCCGATGGAAACGATATGCCACTCTGCTTCCACCTCACTCCCCCGCAAGTCATCCCGAGGAAACTTCCGATCACCGTCGACGTGCCTTCCCGATCGTTGACCGTTAACTTACGTGCTTTCCCCCTCTCCGGCGAGCAAGCAGCAGCAGCCATGGCGTCGAACTCAGTCCGAGTCGCCGCCGCTCAAATGACTTCCGTCAACGACCTCGCTGCCAACTTCGCCACCTGTTCTCGCCTCGTCAAAGTGCGTCTCTCCGCCTCCTCTCTTTTCGATCGCTTTTCATCAAAATTTGCAGCGCTTCCTTTCTGATTTCTGATTCGCGTAGAGCTCGAATCTTCCGATTCCTCGTTCGGTGACGCTAACGAATTTCATGGGAAATTTATGGAAATGCTTTGTTTTAGGGTTTAGAATTTCACTTGTTTCTCAATGGCAGTAATTCAGCTTTCCACCCAGAAGTCCTTGTAATTCTGGACGGCCATTGCCAAGTTGGTTAATTGGTAGACAAGAAATCAGGAATGAAGTTTCAGCTAGGTACATTTGGGATAAAAAGCCAACCATAATCTGAACGTGTATAGTCCGTTTTGGTTGGAACGCCGGGAGTACTACTTTACAATTTACATGTTCTCGGAAGTTGGTGTCTCACTTAATTAAGTTTTGAAATTCATTGTTTGATTCTCAAGGAAGCAGCGTCTGCTGGGGCAAAATTGCTGTGCTTACCTGAAAGTTTCTCATATATTGGGGCTAGGGATGGGGACAGTGTGAAGGTTGCAGAGCCTCTTGATGGACCCATTATGAAACAGTATTGCTCTTTGGCGAGGTGATATGAATTGCTGTTTTTGGGCTTCTTATGGGACGCTAGCAGATTGGCATAGTTTCATATTTTCAGTTACCAAGACTAATTAGCTTCTGACTTTTGCTTGGTTCTTCAGGGAGTCAGGAATCTGGCTATCGCTGGGAGGTTTCCAAGAAAGGGGATGTGATGATGCACACTTGTGCAATACCCATGTAATTGTCGATGATGGTGGGAATATCAGAAGCACGTACCGGAAGATACACCTGTAAGAAGCTCTTACTTACAGTTTAGCAGATCAAATCTAGCTCCCTTGTCCTTCATATATTAACATTTGTATTTAGCATTCTTTACTTTCCTACCATTATCTTCATTAATTGCTCTTAGAGGAAGCCATTTATATTACTATGTTGATGCATTATAGAGCTGGTATTAGTAATTTCATGAAGATATAAGTTGGCGGTAACCTGGTAGGTTTGGTAATGGGGTTCGGGCATTTAGTTAGAAACTTAAACGAGGCATTTGATAAAGGGATATATTGATGAAGATTATCCCTGAAGGAGTTGCCTAATTTCAATTGACATCTTGACTTGGTTTATCCAGTCTGTGGTTGAAGAATGAAATAAATGACGATCTAGATGATGAAACAGAATACATCAATTATCTCCTTTCTTTTATAGAAACTGTGCAAGCCTATTCAAAGTAGAATCATTCTTCTTTTTAGAATTTGTGTTCAGGTTGGTTTTTTTACCATCCCTCCTCCATGAAGTCTAAACTTTACTCGATTCCTGTCAAAATTTTCTTGCTGACTCTGAACTACTTGTTCAGGCGTAAGAGTTTAAGAAATGTTTCCTTGTTCTTTAAGGTTTGATGTGGCTGTTCCTGGTGGAAGGGTGTACAAGGAAAGCAGCTTCACAGAAGCTGGTAACCTTTTTCGCTATGTTACTTTATCCTTGAAAGATAATGTATATTGTGTGACCTTGTTGTGTCTTTCTCATTTCATTATAGGTTGATTCAAAATGTACTTATCCATGAAAAAATAGAGTTTTGGTCTAAGCTATAGGCAAACGCCTCCGACAGATTTAATTTTCTCATTTACCTTATTTGCTTTGGCGGTGTTATGCACTTTGTGGCTTTCAGTTAGTCAATATCGTTGTTCTCGGTATAGACAATCATTCCCTACGAGTTATTAAGTCTGTCAGGAATGACCACTTTTCTTTTATCCTTCTTTCCAGGAAAGGATGTAGTTGCAGTTGACAGCCCTGTTGGGCGATTGGGTTTGACGGTGTGCTATGATTTGAGATTCCCTGAACTTTATCAGCAGCTCCGGTTCCAGCATGGAGCTCAGGTACTGAACTTAATCTTAATTAAAGACTTGAGACCTAATCTGAAACTTCTTTACTTGTTTACAATTATAAAGTTCTTCTTTAACCATCTGCAGATTCTGTTGGTGCCTTCGGCTTTTACCAAAATTACCGGTGAGGCGCACTGGGAGATTCTGCTTCGTGCTCGTGCAATTGAGACGCAATGCTATGTACGACACTTGTTTCCTTTACAAACTGAACATTTATGTTTTCTGCATCTTATCATTAATTAGATTCCTTTCAGCTCAGCTTAAACATAAATGTTGTCATTGATTCGATGTCTTTTACATACATAGTTTGTCTTTGATGTCTGTCTGGATTATTGTTATCTTGATTCATCTTGAAATAGGTGGGATGTTGAAATTGGTGGAATTTGCTCTCAACCCACACAACTTCACTCTTACCCTTCATTCCACTTTTTCTCCTCCTTCTCTGTTAGCAAGCCAAAGAACTTCAGAGGATGACACTACAGCTTAACTAGCATAAAGAATGTTTTGTTTTCTTCTCATGATGTACTACTTCTTATGACGAGTTTTGGAATCAGGTAATAGCTTCAGCACAGGCTGGGCAGCACAATGAGAAAAGAGAGAGCCACGGCGAGACATTGATAATTGATCCTTGGGGCACGGTAGTTGGTCGCTTGCCAGGTGAATACTCTAGTATGCAATCTTCTTGCAATAAGTGAATCTTTGTGCATTATGGTTGTACGATACTGTGATTCTGAGTTGATGTCTGATCCATCTTCTGGGTTATTCTTGGCAGATCGAACATCGACAGGCATTACTGTGGCTGATATTGATTTCTCATTTATCGATTCAGTGAGAACAAAGTTACCAATTGCCAAGGTAACTCTGATTCACCAAATAATAATTTTGAAGGCGAGCTTTCCAATACTCGACTTCCTATAGTAACGTGATGCAAATTTCCTTGTGCAGCAACGCCAGCCCATTGAATTCTGGAAGTCTTCATCTCTATGATTCATTTACAAACACTTGTGTAATTCTCGGGCCTTGACCCGGAAAAGACTATGAAGGGATCTGCTTGCTCGGTTGTCGTGGAAAAATAAGATCATCGCTATCGTTTGGGATGTTTTCTCCTGTACTCTTTACAATTTGGATGCGATCTTGCACTTGAATGGTTTATTCGGATGTGTAATGTAACGCTTTCTTAATGAAGTCATGAACAAGCATAGCAGTAAAAATGTCAATATATGGACATGGGCAGTTAGATTTTATCTGTTGAAATCACAAGAACAAAATTTACTGAACCACGATGTAATTTTCCAGTGACCTGAGAAATCCTGTATAAGACTATGTAACAGAGAAGAGAAAACCAAACCACTACATACAATTATTGGTGAAAAAGATAACAGCAAAGAGACCATGCATCGACGAAAAAGAAGCAGACTAAACCAAGGAACCAACTAACTTCACACTCAAGTATACTGTAAGTATACAGTCTCCCCTATACACTACTCCTAACAACGAAAGCCCAATTCGACTACTCCAACAAGAACTCTGCTGCGGAATCAGGATCCGCGAGAAGGTCGAAGGATCTCTTCTTCCTCAAGCTGTCTTTCAGTATCGTGATCTGACCTTCCTTCACCAGCACGTCTTCGTCGAGAGCCTCAAGCTTCTTCTTCAGCAAACCTACCTCCGAGTTCAACAGCATGTTCTTCTCGTTGTACTGCTTTACTTCCTCCCACATTATATCTCTCTCCTGTGTCACTTTAGGCAGTATCCCCTTCGCCAACGACAGCTCCTTCATGGATTCTTGGAGATCGTGCTGAAGCTGACTCATGTTTTCGTCCTTCTTTGACATCTTCGGGAAAAGAAAGCGGGGGAAAAACAGAACCAGGGAATGTTAAATAATTTGTAGGGGTTGGGAATCAAGCTTCATATATGGGTTCTTGTAAACGGTCTCCCGAGTAAATTGGCAATATTAGGATTTACCTGAAGCTCAAAATCTTTCAACTGGTGGGTGACACATGATAGGTTATCCATGGCATTCTGGACTTCATATCGGAGGATGTCATTGCCTCTCACAGCTGCTGCTATCTCAGCTTGCAATTGCTCAACTTCCATCTCTTTAGCATAAAGCTTCTCCCTTAGCAGACTCGTAAGCAAAGCCTCAGCTTTTAGTTCAAACTTCAATGTATCCTACAGGGACAAAGAACAAAGCTTCAAATCTTGCTTGCTTGCAACTTCTACTTAATGAAAGACATAATTTTACCTAAAATTCCATCGCACATTTAACAAAAGCTTACCTCTGATGTTGGATGATTTGGCTGCTGATACGATGGAGCAACAGGATTCGACTTTTCCTGCAGTATAGATGAAACAGACTGCAAACCTCTTGTTAGGCTCTCTATTCCACGCTTAAAGCCCTGAACTTTGACATCGGATTCAACAAGGAAATGCCCGTCTAAACCGTTTCTGATAAACTCCATCCGATGTGCTGTTTCTAGACATTCCCCTGCATTCCCTTTGATTTGCTCCAACAACTTGGAACACAATTGGGTGCTCTCCTTCAGCAGAGATAATCCCTGGTTTTGCAGACAACATACACGGGTCCGCATCTCTTGATCTAGTTTGAGAGTCGCTGCATAAATCTCATTCCCACTGCCCTTCAATCGATTCAGTAGATTCATATTCTCATGTCGAAGAGAGTCGACTTCATTTCTGTGAGATTCCACTTCCCTTCTAAGTGACAGCTCTACTCCAGTCAACCTCACTTGTTCCATTCGCATCTTTGTCACGTGCTTATCAAATTTGTCCACTGACTGCTGATTCTCTATTTCAGCACCTAACTCATCCCTCAATCCAACGATTGTCTTCTCCTGTTCACTGCAAGTCCTCAACAATCTTGTAGTTGACTTTTGTAGCTCCTTGCACTCCTTATCCCTTGCTTCAAAATTTCTCCTGATACAATTTAAATCCTGTCTAGCCGCTGTGTACTTCTCCTGCAACTCGGATAAGGTTTGCTGCAAGTGCTCATTTTCCTGGGTCAACTCCTGCACACTTGAAGTCAGCTGCCTAACTTGTTGCTCCGAATAAGTCATCACATTTTTGCTTTCAGTCTCCCTTTGACTAAAAGCAGAGACTTCCCTCTGGAGAGACACATTTTGCTCTGCAAGCTCTCTGACCCTCTCACGCAGTCTGTGCTCCTCTAACTGGCATTTCTCAAGTTTTGATGACCAGTCATTTGACCTCCTGTCTAACTCTTTCTCCAATGCTGACTGCAGCTCATTCTTTTCCTTCTCCAGTCTTAGACTGCGTGACTCCAGATCTGCCTTGGCCAGCCTAAGTGCTTCCTTTCCAGAATCCCTCTCCACAATCTGAGACTTGAGAAGCCCTGAGATCTCGATTGCCATGCTTACCCTGTCCTCCATTAGGTTTCTAACAAAATGGACGAATGATGAACTATCAAAACCCCGATCCTGGAGAAAGCCTTCCTGCTCAAGTTCTTCGGATAGAACAACAACCCTCTCCTCAGCTTCTTTTGACCTTCTTTCCAGCTCCATATCAACAGGATCCGGATCACCTTTGACAGACTTTATATCCATAAAATCATCTCCTTGATGGACATCTTGCCGGTAGCCCAAGTAATCATCATCTCCGTGATACATGTCAACAGTACCATCACATGACCCCTCGAAAAAGGAGCTTTTCCCAGCCTGAGCATCTGGGTTCGAGTCGAACCGACTACTTAGTGATCCACCATAAACATCCTCTATTGTGATCGGAACACCACAATCAACCTCCTTGGCATTTGATTTAGGGAAACCGTGAGCTTGAGCGAGTCTCTCAATAACATTCTTTGCAAGTCTCCTAGGTGATCCATGCCCAAGATCATTCTCCATCCAGTCATCATTGCAAGAAAACCGAGAATGGGTTCGTTTAGACTCCCTAAAAGAGTGAGACTTCGGTTTATCTCTGACAGGATGTGTTGGTGAAGTAGGGGCAGTATATTGGACTCGAGGTGGAAGCTTCCCACCTGGATTCCCACTCCCAGACGTAACGTATCTCTGAGAAGAAACCTTTTTCGGCTTGCTTCTGTCTAGTTGTTGCTCTCCATCAATATAGCGGTCCAAGACCTTTGTTGAAGCATTACTGCTGCTGGTAGAACCAGAAGTAGGCCTCTCCAGTCTATGAACTTCATGTTGCTCTTGTCTAACTTGTCTCACAGGCGTAAGTGCACGCCTACTGCTACTGACAGAAAACAAGAAATGACCCCATCAGTTTCTCACAGAATTCGCCATCAACTTTTACACAAAATCACAAAGCAACAAAACGGTAAGCTGTTAAATATGAACTCTGACAGTTGCCTCACCGAGAAGAATAACTGCTAGGAGATTTACTTCGATTGACTGGAACTGAGAAGTGTGACTGCCCATCATCATCAAGTAGAAATGCTCCAGATGAATAAGAGCGACTCTTTCTAAGACCGGGATTGGAACTGGGACTTTGGCTATCATGAACTTGCTTCTTTGAGTTAGAAAACAAGCTCTTGGGGCTCCTGAAATTACTGCCAGGCTTGTCACCAACGTGATCTATTATGAGCCCACTTTCAGGTCGATTCTCCTTCCTTGATGATGGAGACCCAGCATTGCTGCTTCCGTCATTAGGGGAAGACCGGAAAAAGAATAGCTTCTTCATCTAAATATACTCAAGAATGAGAACAATGCAGCTTCCACTCTGGCCTTTGCAACAGTTTCTGAAAATAGCCAAATGTTCAGTTATGAGATTCCTAACCAAACTCCACAGCTTCAAAGATAAACATATCATGAAGACATCAAGCGATACAAACAATGAAAAAAAAGGGACACAGATCAATTGGACACAAGGGAAGCTGGGTTATCAACACAAGGGGGAAAACCCATGTGCACACTTCAGAGTTCAGCTGCTCGCTCAGTTAAATAATCAGTTAATTACAGAACCATGTGCTATGGCTTCTGATTCAATCTCACTCAGCTCGATCTTTAAAGATACTACCACCAACTCCACTAGCTAATTCTGATCCAGAAAAACCCTAGAGTCAGAGCATCAGAAAAGGGGGGGAACAAAAGAAAAAACTACCCCGATTCATCTAATTCGTCATATTGCTGCAGCAGAGTAATCTTTTGAGAAACGAGAGCAACCAATGAAAACCTAAATCGATTTTTCCAGTATATGTAATCAGAATATATATTCCAATTATGTCCAATGCATCAAGAAGATTTGAGCTGATAAACCCCAACTGAACCCCAGCTCATTTGGTTGCCAAGAAAATCAAAGAAAAACGAGAATTCAGAGAGAAAGAAACTGAAGTCAGATCAAAGAAGAAGAAAAAACGTTATCATCCACCAAAACGAAGAAACAGAGAGAGCAAAAAGAAAGAAGAGAAAAAGTAGAATCCAAACTTTACCTTGAGAGAGCAGAGCACCCGCGTTTGGCTCCAACGGTCCAAAAAGACGAGCCAATACACAAAACGCTTCTTTCTTCCTGTTTCTTCTCTGTCTACACCCAGAAGAAGCCAACAACAACCAGAGACGCCATTAAACAGCCAAGAATTCAAGAAGAAAAAATCCAAATCAGGGCGAAACCGACCCGCACAAAAATCCATTTAAGCACGCGGCATTAATCACAGGAGGGGTGTATTTAATTCCTCTCATTTACCCCTTTTCGAATAATTTTGAAAAATGGGAAGTCGAAATCAATGACTTACCCCTTTTGCCGCCCACAAGCCGGGAAAATCAAATCGCTCCAACCAGAAACGGACCCAAAATTCTCCGACCCAACTCCACGGCAGGCTCCAACTCGGGAAGGAAGATGAGAAACAGATGGAGCTGCTGCTGGGTGTAGTATTAGAATCCCTTTTGACCCTTCCTCTGTTTTGTCTAGCTTGGATGGCAGTGTTGTCAACGGGAGATGACAGAGAGAGAGAAGGACGTGCGAGGAAGAGAGCGTTTGGAAAAGGCAGGAAATGATGGTGGTGACAGTGAGTGGCAGTCTATTGTATTGTTGTACCCTACGGCGAGCGAGCGCCTCTCGGTATAACGGGAAAAAAGACGGCCGAAAACGTTTTCTTTTCTTCTTCTTCTTCTTTCGCTTTAGCTTTTTTGGTTTTAAGGATTAAATTTTTTTTTATAAAATTAAGGTTGATGACATTCTAAGTTTTAAATCTTTACACTATGCTTTTGATTTTCTTTTCAATAAAACAAGTCTTAGTATTGTGCTTAATGTTCAAAAATCTAAACCATCTTATGATTACTAAACTGAGAGATTAGTTCTTAAGTGCTCTCATATTTCTGAATATAAATGTTGGAGGTTTGTAAGGAACGAGTGAGAGATACGAGATGAATGACGGAAAAAATGGCATCATAAAGGAGTATGTGAAATTTTACGTAGGAGGTGTCTTATGCACTAATTTTAATGACGAACATGAGAAGGAACAGGTAACGAGAAATCACCATTATTTAACTTATAGTAGGTTAACTCCTGTTTGCTAACTCGAGTTGTTGGAAGAGTTATAATTATGGATCTTATATTATTTACTAATCAACCCGCTCTCTCAAACGAAAAACCACTCATATGGAATTTAAGTTTGTGCATATATCCAAATATTATGTGCTTAACAAATAGGGGTCGTCGAGATCCAAACAAGATGGAATGAACGATGTGTGTGGATCGATCGACCGCTGGTTTTCTTGATTGATCAGCCGAAGCTGGATAATGTAGCCATCTTACCTAGTTAATAAAAGTCCCCCAAGGTTCTTATAAAAAAGGGGGTCGTCGAGATTCAAACACAATATCCCGTGGTCTTAAGTTATACTTATAATACCATGTAATAAACCAAATGGTCATAATAACTTGCGTTGTTGACAAGATTACTAGGGACTTTGTCTGGGGAGCTGAGGAGAATCGTTCCAAATTGCACCTGGTTGCTTGGGAGAGGCTGACTCTGGCTAAAGATCAAGGTGGGGTGGGTCTGCGTCCAACCCGCCAGGCTAACTTGGCTATGTTGGCTAAGAGCGGTTGGCGCCTTCTTCAAGAGAAGGATAACCTATGGCGGCAACTACTTCTCTCGAAGTACGGAGGTCAAAGGACAGGGCTCGATGTTCTGCGGAAAAATCAGGGAAGTTCCTTCACCTGGAGTAGTTTCTCCAAAGCTGCTGATCTCCTTAAGCAAGGCTGTGCGTGGAATATTAAAAATGGGGAAAAGACTAAATTCTGGTGTGACCCGTGGATTTTGCAGGCCCCCCTGAAGGAAGTTATGACGGGAGACTTGCGGGGAGAGGCCGAGGAGGCGGTGGTAGCGGATTTTGTTCGGGATGATGGGAGTTGGCGCACGGAGCTGTTCTCTAATCTGCTCCCATCGGACATTTGTGCCAAGATCACGAGCACGGCCGTGGATAAAATTTCTCAAGAGGAGGACACGTTGTTTTGGACTCCGTCTGCTGATGGCCGCTTCTCCACCAAATCAGCATATGGACTCCTTACTCCGCAGGATCAGCAGCCTCGAGATGGAATTTGGAAGACAATATGGCGCCTCGAAGTTCCAGAGCGGATCAGAGGGTTTGTGTGGTTGGCTTGTCAGGGAAGGATAGCGACTAATGTTCTTCGGTTTCAGAGGAAGGTGGCGGAGTCTCCTTGCTGTCCGCGTTGCGATGGGCGTCCGGGAACAGTTCTCCTCATTTTGCGAGACTGTGTTCCTGCCCTGTATTTTTGGTCCAGGCAGGTTCCTCAGGGAAAGCAGCAGGTCTTCTTCAGTGCCAACCATGATGAGTGGTTTCGCAGCAATTTGACGAGTAAGGAGACCACCACTTCGGGGATCAACTGGCCAGGTTTCTTTAGTATGTCCATTTGGCTCATTTGGAAGAATCGCACTATTGCTGCTTTCAAAGGTATAGGGCGGCTCTTACTGCCCCTTCTCTTATGCAGTCTATTATCACCAAGAGTAGAATCTGGAACGATTCGTGGCAGGCACCGGAGCTGTTCCTTAGTCACAAAAAGCAGAAGGCCGATCGGGTGGTGGCAGCAGTGGGGTGGACTCCAGCAGCAGAAGGTTGGGTGATGGTGAACACAGATGGGGCCTCAAATGGGAATCCGAGTCCGGCCGGGGCGGGCGGTGTCGTCCGTGATACTTTGGGAAACTGGTTGGGAGGGTTCGTCGCCAACATTGGAAGTGCTACTGCCGCCTTAGCGGAGCTCTGGGCCATCTTTTATGGGTTAGAGCTGACTTGGAAACTTGGTTTTCGGGTGGTGAAGATAGCCACCGACTCGCAGCTTGCTATACAGTTGATTCAGGAACGACATGATCCCATCCACCCCTATGCCACTTTGTTGAGTCTCATTCGGCGGAAGATGGGTCAAGATTGGTTGGTTAGTCTGACTCATACATACCGAGAAGGGAATAGAGTCGCGGACTGGCTCTCGAAGCACAGTCTCGTATATCCCTACGGCATGCATGAGCTGGCTGATCCTCCTATGAGCATGGTTGCGATTCTGCAGGATGATGCGAGAGGCACTACGTTTGATCGCCGAATTGTGGCCAATCATCCCCCTCCCTTTTAATCCCCCCCTGTAATTCTTTCTCTTCTTTGTCCTCGGCCTCCTCTTGATGCAAAAAAAAAACAATTTTCTTACACGTCCCCTCAAACGAAAGTAAACTAGTGGGCATGAAGTTGCACTCACCCACCATGTAATGTACTTTAAGACAACGATTAATATTGGGGGTACTGGACATGAAATTTACACTCCCCCACCATGTAAGTAAGCGAGTGGGCAATGGTCATGAAGTTTGCAATAAACCGCCATGTAACGTGTTCGAGCACCATCAATCGAAAGAAAACAAGTGGGCATGAAATTTGTACTCACTCGCCATGTAATGTACTTTAAAACAACGATTAATATTGGGTGTAGCGATTATTTGAACACGTGACCTCATAATCAAACCAACTTTGATATTATGTCATTATAACTCATATAGGTTTGAAGTTTACACAAGCCCAATATACCTTGTTTTAGATCAACTGTTAATTAATATTAGTAGGTCGTGGAGATTTGAACACATAAACACTTGAATAAATCCGGTCTTATATCATATCATAAAACGTTTGATCACAATAACTTAAATCATTAAAAGAATTACAATAATAAATCTTATGCCAACTACCTCTACATTTCTGCTTTCCCGATAACAGGGCATGGATGCTGGGTTTCAACATCTCCTTTAAGACACACCATAATGCAAATTATCATTACTCTTTCTTCACTCGCAACGCCTTTCCTTCTATGAATCATTTTCGTTTCCATGATTTCATGTCCGTACCTAATTATGATGTTTCTGTGTGAGTGTATGGGCTAGAGCCTAGATAGCTTGTTTAGGTTTTATATAAAATTTTCATTCTTATGTCATATTGATACTGAATATGTTTGCGAACGTACTACCCAGGCGGGATATTTCTACGAAAACAAGGCCAAAAACCTCTTATTGGATTGGCACCTGTCAATAAAATATCACTAGAGGAGTAGGGCTATGTGGACCAGTGAATTCAATATTGTGCAAATTGCATAATCGTTAATTACTACATTTTTTCTCAGTCCACATAGACAAAATGTAAGACTAGTGTCAACAATTGATCATGAAAGACCATTCATTGTTTCTTGAAGCTCGATCTCTCCGACGGCCCCCGGACGAACAAGGTGAATGAAAATGGGATTGATGGAATGGGATAAATGTTTCACATTCCTTAGGCTAAACTCAATTGCGTTAAAGATACTATGGGTAGGGGTGAACAAACACACCCGCAAACCGATCCACCAGACCCAACCCACCCGTATTTATCGCTAAAACAAAGGCTTTGGGTTGGGTGGGGGTTTTATTTTGTACAACCCGCCTCTTTTGGGTTGGGTTTGGATTTTGGATTACACAACCCGTAGAACCCGACCCAACCCGTGTTCCAACTATTAGTATGAGTTCTTATCTAAAAAATATTTATAGCCATACTTATGAGAAAATTATGATATTTCGCCATATTTTTCTCTCATGATCTCCATAATCTTATGCATTCATCGACTTAAAGTTTAGACATAAATTGAATATAGTCATGATTCATGTAATCCTTTTTCTTGTGTACAATTTTAATAGAATAACATATTATGGTTTATAATCTTTTTAGCCTATTTCAACAAATATCGTGAAAAAACTAGACATATGTTGAAGTAAATCACGTTTTATTAAAATTCAAACAACATTTGTGAATTTTGATAACTTTCACCTCGGTTTATTCGTTTGAAATTTTAATTATTTATAAAATATTTTTATGATGTAGAATAATTATATATTTTATATTGGGTTGGGTTTTTACTTTAAAATATCGCCAACCCGACCCAACCCAATTAGAAACAAAACGTAGGGTTTAACTTTTTTTTGGGTGGGTTTGAGTTTGATATTTTCTAAACCGTAGCACATGGGTCGGGTGATTAAAATGGCTAAACCCGAACCACCCGACCCATGTACACTCCTAACTATAGGGGAGGTCCTGCGAGCCTCTTCAAAGTCCTAGACTCTTTTTTGTTTCAATAAATTGTAAGAAATGAAGTCATCGTTCATCCTGACTCTGAATGGAACAATCTATTCTTTTTATTGTACATTCGAAAAAGAATCAAATTCGAATTGAGAAAATCGTTTTTCTCCATGCTTGTCTATTGGTACTATTGGAATGAGGTTAATCTACAATAAAAAATCCTGCATCATAGTTGGTGTTGCTGCGCATGCAGCCATTTTCATGGTAAGAGCCCACATTATTTATTTCAAAAATTCATTCATAAATATCTACGGAATAAAGATATTTTAACCGCCCCTTTCAAAATCATAGAAATGACGACATAATTCACGTGAATATAGTAAGTCTTTGTATATGAGAAAGTTCTAATGATCTCGATGTAATTGAAAAACACAAACTGACAGTTCGTCCGGTCAATCCTGTCACAGTCACAAGCCACAGCCTTACTCTTTTTGCCACGCGTGACAATCCCCCTGAACCCAAATAACTCAATTTTATCCCTTAAACTATTTGGGTCAGTGTTAGGAATTTGAATCTTTCAAATCTATAAATGGGTTGGTTGTAGGGGCGGGTTTAGCCAAGTGGATCAATGCAGTGAATTATGAATCCACCATGGGCGGGTTCAATTCCTAGTAGTATGTTGCAAGAGTTGGGATGTTCGTCCATTAAAGTGTATATGAGTTGAGTTTATAATAAATGATATTAATGAAAACACTAATTCATAATTTTTAACAACAAGGAATGGAGATGCCATTCTCGCTTCCACTTCGTCCATCGTCGCAAAGAGGCTAACTTGTTCAAATCTTTCCATTTTCTGTTTCAAATTAAATGAATAATGCTAATATGGGTTTTTCATAGGAAGAATGTTCCTTAATGTCAATGACCCAAAATCATAAAATGTTTTACAGTTCTGAAGGTTAAATTAGATTGAAACAGTAGAGACAAATTGTTGAATGTCATTATTTTAGGTAATGTAATAGCTACTAATAGTGGTAAGTGGAAAATAATAATTTCAAACCGTCAAATTCGTCCCTTTGTTTCAACTTAAGGGGTCGTTTGGAGGTTGAGATTTGGAGTGAAGTATTTAGCAAATACATGTAATGATAAGATTAAGTCGTTTTTTTTGGTTCACTTTGAGTTCAAATGCATGTATTATCTTTTTGTTGGGCCCACCTATAATCCCTCAAAATGAATGATTTTAAATCTCTACCAAAAGGTGAGATTGTTAACAAGGGATTGTCTACCCTACTTTTTGTTTCATCATTGCCCCTCCAAACAAAGTATTTTCCTAATACCTGCATTGAATCAATACATCAAATGATAATACACAAATTAAACAAATACATTTATTTGGAGAATCTCAACCTCCAAACATGCCCTTAGTTATACACACACTAGGACCATGGAACATGATAAATAAATTTTCTTCGACATCTTCTACAAACCATCATTCGAATCTTAACCCGTTTTATTTCATACTATTTAATCCATCATGTTTATCTTATTTTAACTTTCTTTCATGCACATTTAAGACCATCTAGCTAAATATCGGATGGGCCGGAGGTGTGCCCACGTAGCCGTGGTGGGCTTTATTGGGCCCACGCACCTGATCCACTACTAACTATTCTTCACAACCAAACGCCGCCGTTTGGTGCCACTCACTGATCTTCCTCTCCTTTCTTTATTCATTTGATTGGATCCTTCTTCTTTGCGTTCTTTGTTCTTCCTCGGCACTCAAAGAATCGTCCACGTCTTTTTCCCCCCACGGCTCTCTCTTGCGTTTTCTCCTCTGATCTCCACTCGAACACTTCCCCCGCCATGGAAATCGATTCCCCTCTTCCCAACGGCAACTCTCTCGCCGCCGCCGTCCCACTCCCCCTCAATCCTGCTTCAACCGTCGCCTCCCCCGCGCCGCCGTCCAACCTGGCGCAACTCGCCGAATCGTTGAAGCTCGAGCACCAGTTTGCCCGCGTCCCTTTCGAGCACTACAAGAAGACGATCCGCGCCAACCACCGCGCCGCCGAGAAGGAAATCTCCTCCGTCGTATCCGGCGTCAGTGAAGCCGCCGCTTCCGATTTGTCCAAGGACGACGCAGTCCAGCACCTCACCTCCCTCGTCTCCAAATTGCAGGGGCTCAAGAGAAAGGTTAGGATTCTTCTATCTATTTTCCTTGTTTGCACTGAATCTCTGGTTCCTTGAAGATGTGAAACATGCTAATTCATTTAATAATTGGTGATGATGCTGCTTTGGTTAGCGAATAGCTGTGTCAACGGATAAGATTTCTGTTGTTGTTGCATTTGCATATGGTGATTTTGGTTGTTGGTGTTGGGCGTGTTTCGGTTCAGCTGGAGGAGGGTGGTCGTACTGAGCACCTGCAAGAACAAAGATGTCGAGCTCGTCTCGACCACTTGGAATCAGCAGATGCAGAGAACATGGTAGATTGGAGCAACACACGTCTCAAGCGAATTCTGGTGGACTATATGTTGCGAATGTGTTACAATGACACTGCAACGAAGCTAGCTGAAACCAGCAACATTCAGGTTATTGTAATTCATCCTACTGGTCGTGGCTCTTCATCTGGTATTCGATGCATGATGGAATTGTTGATAAATTTGTCTTTTTTGTCTTACTTGTTGATCTCAGGATCTGGTTGACATTGATGTATTCCAAGAAGCGAAAAGGGTTGTTGATGCTCTCCATAAAAAAGAAGTGGCTCCTGCTTTAGCTTGGTGTGCTGAAAACAAGTCACGGTTGAGGAAGTCCAAGGTATGGTGCTGCTTCCTGGCTTGGAGCACGCCTCTTGCTCAGTTGAGATTGCTTTCTCTATTGTCTATGCTATCTTATTAGAATTATTTTGTTCTCGTGTAAGGTCATTTGTTCTGATTCTTCCATTTTGAAATTTTAGTGTCTGACTGCTTGAGCATATGCATTTTCAGTTCAGCAGCAGAAATGTCGGAGTTAATTTTCGAGATGAATTTTGAATTGTCAAATCTTGGTGATATTTGGCTTTCAATTCATTGATGTACTTGGTTACGACCCTCATCCCTTTGTCCTTATTGAGCGTATTTGGAACTTTTAAGACAGATTAGCAATTTTTGGGATTTAAGGGTTAGTGGTCCAGACTTCTAGGATTTGGGACGGGCAATTTATGTCCTCCTTAGAACTTAGAAGCAAGACTAAACATGATGAAGAGAACTAGGAAACAAAAGTACACGCTTGGCTGGATGCCATTTGGAGCGCGGATAGAGTCTCCTCCAACCAAGGAGGAGCTTAGCATTGTACTTTGTTTTTGTGAAATAGATTATAGTTTGCTTTTTTTTTTTCTTCTGAAAACTGTAGAGCAAAATTGAGCTGTAGTTTAAAATTGTGGCCATGTTGGCCGCATCATGATTGCTAGATTGTCCTATCTCTGGATGTAACAACCATCATATAGCGGAACAGTAACTTCAATGCAGTGTTTGTTACCTGAGGCCTAGTGTCCATTGTTTATGCTAGGCGAATGAATACCATTTCAAGTACTAAGTTTCTGATTTGCTCTAATAGATCCAAGCATTCCAAAGAATATGCATTAGTTACCTCAGTTGGAACTTCGTGTTCGGTCATCAGTTTCATTCTAAGCCATTTTAAGTTGCTAACTGTACATAAGAATACATGCAAACTATAATTTGATAGGTGAACCCCCTATTGTAGCCATAGGAGCTTATTAATGAACTTTTCACTTTTTGGTTACTCTAATTTGTTCGGAATGATAGCAGAGCAAATTTGAGTTCCAGTTGAGACTTCAAGAGTTCATAGAATTGGTGCGAGCTGACAATCACATGGGTGCCATTTCATATGCTCGGAAATATCTTTCTCCATGGGGAGCTACCCATATGAAAGAATTGCAGAGGGTTATGGCCACTCTGGCTTTCAGGAGTGGTACTGTATGTGCTGCATATAAGGTAATAAAATATCATCCTCTCTATAAAAAATTCTCTTCGATTACTGCCCAGTCACCGTGATTATCTCTGTGATTGATTTATAATCTCTTGAAATGGTGACTATGGATTCTGAGACCTTATAGTTGTCTGGGCTTGTGATACAGATTTATGTGGACTTCCACTTCCTTTCAGCATGATTATTCTGTGTTATCATCACGTATTGTCATTCTGTTGGTATGCAGGGTCATGCTACCTTATTATCAGATATTTACTTGACTACCTGCTTTTACCTTGGAATACTCTACCTAGATGCTCGAACACATCGTGATACTGATTGTCTCCTCATGTTACTCTCCTTCCAGGTTCTTTTTGAACCGGAGCAATGGGACTATCTGGTGGACCAATTTAAACAGGAATTCAGCAAGTTATATGGCATGACAGTTGAACCGTTGCTGAATATTTACCTACAGACTGGGCTATCTGCCCTGAAGACCCCGTATCCACTGATTGCCAGTCTTTCAACTGCCTGTTACCGTTTTCAAAAATTGTTGTTTTGTATTACCTGTCATTATTGTTATTAGGTTCCTGATCCTTTTTCAGAAAGCAGATTTCTACACGGAATGGCTGGATTTAGTGCTTTAAAATGCTTTTTTTCCAAGTAGTTGTTTCAGCTTGACTGTGCCTTTAGATATTGCTACGATGATGAATGTCCAAAAGAGGATCCGCTATCGCAAGAGAGCTTCCGGAAGTTAGCACTGCCTTTACCCTACTCTAAGCAGCACCACTCGAAGCTCGTCTGCTACATAACTAAACAGCTAATGGACACTGAGAACCCACCTCAAGTACTGCCCAATGGCTATGTCTACAGCACTAAGGTAGCGATTCTGTGCTCTTCGTATCGTGAAACCCGGTCGAAAAATACCAAGTCATGTGATTTTGTCCTCTTGACATATCCTGTTTGTTGCAGGCACTTGAAGAGATGGCCAAGAAGAACAATGGTAAGGTGACCTGTCCAAGAACAGGGCTGGTCTGTAATTACTCAGATGTGGTGAAGGCGTACATTTCATAAACCCTAGAGCTCTGTAAAATCCATTCGACCTTGCTGAGAGCGCGCTTAACGTTGTTCCCAACAAAATTCTGTGAATATTAGTGATGGGTCATAAAGCATGCCAGAAAACCCACTTTTGTACTTCATTGTGTAGCTCCTCTTGTTCCTTTGCCTTAGGATTGGCTTTGATTCTATGGATACATGCACATTGTACATATTCCATGTCTTGCTTAAAGAACAGGAGATGTTTATGAGCTGTTACTGAGTGAACTTCAAGCAAACTTACCTAAACAAAGTTACGAATCCCCTTCCAGTAGCCATCGCATTCGTGAACGTTGTTTCCAATAGAGCTCCTTCACATCCAAATCAAAGCTAACTCAGCTTCCACTCGACCCATCTCCTCCCAATCCACTAGTGAATGTGGTTTTCTCACCTGAGATGGTCGAGTTCTCAACCCGCGAATTTGATAGGCAGAATTCGAAGTACCTATTTTCGTCTAGTGAAACAACGTATACCGAGCTTGTATCAACCAAAACTATTAAGTATTAACTAGTAAAACCAAAGACTGACTTGAGCAACAATCTCCGCAGTCTCTGAGTTGTTACTCCATCTACCATCAAACATGAAAAACTGACTTTCCTTGCGGTCTTCTTTCCACAAGCACAACCCGCTGCCGCTGGTTGTCAAGGCCCACCACCAAAGAAAGCCTGTCAACTCGCACGCATTGTATAGGGCCAGCCAAAGCCCAAACTCAGGCCCAACCTTTTTCCTTCTCGGCCGATAATAATATCGTCTATTTCGCCGGGAAAAGTCCCCTGACCCTATCGGGAAACGTGAACGACGACCCGCGAAACCCGGAAAGGAAGAAAAGAGTAAGGAAAGGGTCAGTCAGTCAGTCAATGCCTATGTTTGGCCCGGCTTTTAGAAGTGCTTTTCGGCTTCAAAAGGTTAAGCAGGGCCAAACACCTCTAAAAGCTCGGCTTTTGAAAAGCCGAAAAGCGCTTTTGTATAACATAAAAGCAGAAGCTCCGATTTGGAGCTTCTGCGAAAAGCTGTTTTGAAAATACAAGATTATCCTTACCATATTTTAATTTTATTTCAGAAAATATAATTTTCCTTCATTTATATCATTTTAAAAATAAAATAAATTATAAAATCATATTATTTAATATAAAAGAAATCTAACAAGATCCATTTTGACTACTTTTTATTGTTTCGAATTTTTATTTATATTTTATATTATAAGTCCTTTATAGTCATTTTACACAACCGCTCATATTAAAAAGCACTTCTAATAGTTTTACAGCCAAACACTAAACTGCTTTTTTTGAAAAGTACTTATCTAAAAGCTCCAGCCAGAAGCTGCTTCTGCAAAAGCTACAGCAGGGCCAAACTAAGCTAATAACTAGAGGGAGCCACGTGTCAACATCAACCAAAGGCCCAAACCGGTCCATCCACCACCAAACGCCGGACCCACCGCCGAGACGGAGACGGCGTCCGGCCGGCGTTCCCTCGTATCCGTTTCCGAATGTGAAATGTGAATCCTCTCCACAGCCCCATAATAATACAAAAACCTCCGCTCTCCCCACCACCACAACAAGAATAATAAACAAAAAGATTAGTGAAGGCGGAAAAAAGCTAGCTATAGATAGAGAGAGAGAGAGACCGAGGGATGGCAGCTCTGAAAGAAATTCCCTTGGCCGAACCCTAAAAAAGCCGATTTCCATCTCTCTTTTCTTTTCCGAAGAAATAGTCTTCACGCGGCTGCGTGGTGTTTTTCTCTCTGAACTAGTGAACTCTGATTCCCCCCTCTCTCTCTTTCTAATTATCTCTCTCACTCCACTCCAGGTAATCACAGCCGCCGTGCTCGCCGGCTGCTTCTCTCTCTCTCTCTCTCTCTCTCCGCGTCGCGTTGATTTTTTCCTCTTTGGGAGTTTTGGGATTCACCGGGATTTGATTGGTCAGCGTGGGTTGGCTTTGGTTTTGGTTTTCCTCCCCAATACGGTCAGTGTGATTTTGGTGATTTTTGCGAAGAGACGGGATGCTGCTTTCCCCAATCTCGTTTGTCGCGTGTGGAAAACGATTTCTTTGATTGCTTTACTTATAAAAAGAGAAAACAAAAGACGTAGGAGAGATCAGGCTGCTTTTGGGTGTTCGATTTTGGGGGTCGTCGATTCGATTGTGGGCAGCTGGGACAAGTTATGTTGGCTTCTTTCTGGAAACCCGATTCGAAAATCTGCAGGCGTGTTCGAGAAGCCCTCTAGCATCTTTCTAGACCATCCCTCTTCTGCTTTGCACTTGCTTGAGCTGTACTTTCGGTATTCTCGTACGCGGGTTCATCGGTTTGTCAGATATCTGTTTGGATCTAGATCTAGATGTAGACTCCTTATTAATGGTGTTGCATCTCCAGCTATAGGTTGTGAAAGGCTAGAGTGTGCGTCTGGCCATATCTGCTTGATCCGTACGGTGTCAATTAATTGCAGTGTAAATGCTCTCTCGCTTCTGGGTTTCCGAGTTCAGATTTTGTTTTGCCTTTTCCTTTGCAGGTCCTGAGTAATTGAAGCTTCGTTCTCTTCGAACAGGGTTGGAGTTATTGTTATTTGAAGTGGGATTTGTTTGGATAGGGGCGCACATGAAGTAATACCCTGAGTTATTTTGGTGAAAGTGTAGCAGGACGAGGGTGTTACAAAGCTTCCGAGGAAATGCCAGTTTCTGGAAAGGAAGAGGTGTTAATTCCTCTATTTACGAATTATTGGTGTAACCCTTCTTATATTTTGCTCGCTTTCTGGATATTAATTGTTATGTCTTCTATTGGCAGTCTGGGGTTAAACCTTTTGCCCGGCAGCCTAGTTTTGATATTTCAGGTGTTCCTATCAAGAAAAGGAGGTTCTTTCGCCATCCCTCACCTACACCTGAAGAACAACCCTCTTCAGTTTCTCCAAAGAATGGTTCTATACAGCCTGTTAGCTCTACCTATGGTTCTGCTCCTTTAAATCCTAAATTTGCGGGTAGTGCGTCTGGTTTGTCTGATGCAACAAAGAAAATCCCTGACACGGCTATACCTACCAGTGTTAATAATAGCTCATTGGTCAAAAGTGAGGCATCATGTGGTGAAGTTATTTCCGATTCTTTGGCTCCTATTGGTAGTGAGAATAAGCCTGTGGAAGCTGAGGCTCTTGATAAAATTTCTGTTATTCCTGCAACCAATGAGTTGAAGTCAGCGCCTGTTCCATCTAATCCAGGTGAGGTTACTGTTAAGAAGCAAGTGCCAGCTGGGAAGTGTAAACCTGGGGTGTCTGCTGTTTCTGGGAACCTTGAATTGTCTTTAGGCTTGAAAGAACACCATGTTGCTGATAGTAACGATGGAAGTAGTCACAGACAGGGAAATGAAGAGTCTATTTCTTTGAATATATCTTCGAGCAAGGCAGGAACCAGCACCCAGTGCAAGAAAGATGATATGAAGTTGACTTCTGATGGTGGTAGTAAATCTGCTGATAGATTAAACTGGGACTTGAACACTACAATGGATGCATGGGAAGGCCCTTTGGATGATAAGGCTGCAGGTAAAATAACAGATAATGAGTTGAAATCAGCAGGTGCCAGGCCAGATATAAAGCCTTTGATATGCCCTCCAAATGCTAATAGCATTGCTGTATCTGATGCAAAGAATGTCCTAGAAAAGAGCGCGAAGCCCTTGAGTTCCTCTGGAACAGTTTCACAATCTGTCACACAACATAATCTTGACAGTTCACTTCATTTATGCCTCAGCCCATCCTTTCTTTCATTTAGTGTCAGTGAAGAACCATCATGCTCTGTTTCCAACAAAGACCCGTGCAAAGTTTTTCCTAATGCCAGCTTGCCCAAAGGGTTGTCCTCAGCTGGCAAGTCTGGCATCTCTAAACCTAAGAATGTTAAACAAGAACCACGTGATGAGGGGACTAGACCTGTTTTCAACATTCTACCATCAGTTGTTAATGGACCAGTGAAGAGAGAATTGATGGAGAAGCTTGCTCAGGAGGTTCTCAAGTCGGGATGTTATAGTTCTCTGAAAATTATTGATCCTAGATCCATAAAGTACGAGTCTTGTCAAGAGGGTAACCAGGAAGTGCTCAAGGTGGTGGAGGGGAAGTGTCTACAGTCAGGTATTGAAGAATCACCAAGGATAGATGAGGATACAACTCAGCAGTCTGGTGAAGTGCAGATGAAGAACGAAATAGATTTGCTGTCTCAGAAATCGAGTGCCGCTGAAGATTTGAAGACAGCAGTTGGGGTATCTCAGCAATCAGGTAAAACAGAGGCACTTAACGGACTGGAAGAGGAATCACCCAAACTGGCTAATCCAGATATGTCTGAGGTGGTAGGAGGGACAGCAAAACAATCTGATAAGCTACAGGAGTCCCAGAGGGTAGACAGGATGATGGAACAATTTGATAAGGTAGAAGGTGCACTGAATTGCCCTGGTAATGACATATTAGACCAATCTGAGAAACAAGAATCGTCAGGTGCCCAGCCTGATAAACTAGAGGTGATAATGGAACAATCTGACAATCAGGAATCGTTAAGTCTGGAAATGAAGGAACAGACTGGTTGTTCAATTAATAATCAAGAATCATATAATCAGAATGCTCAGTTGGGCAAACAGGTGCAATCAGCCAGTAAAAGTGTTTCAAACCTGTCAGAACAGGTTAAGAGTACTGATACAGTCTGCCAGAACAATGATGTGGTCCTGGGAGAAAGCACAACTGTCAAACATGTGATTTCTGAACCTGCATGTCACGTTGAATTAAATGTGGCTGGAGCAAGCACTGCTCCTATTAGCCGTGATCAGAATATGGATATACCGAAGGAATCTGAGCTGAAATGTGTGGACGACATGAGCACCCAGCAATTGCCTGGGAATGTTAATGTTACTGCGAGCGATGAAGAAAAGATCAATTTGTCAGCTGATATTCTAGAAGAAGATTCTTATGAGTATGAGTCTGATGGCAATTCTGTTCCAATGGACATAGAAGAGGATGGGGTGGGTCACAATGACTATGAAGATGGTGAGGTTCAAGATCAACAACTAAGACCTGCAACTGTGGGTCCAACAACTAATATTACTCAAGACATTGGTTCTTTAGATTTTTATGCAAACCAGGTAAACTATACAAGGAACACTATGGATGTCCATCTTACTTCATTCTTAGCTAAAGAGAATGTCAAACATCAAGAAGGCTCTGGTGGAAGAAGTGATGACATCGCTAAAGAATCCGTAGTTTCGCAGGTTGATGGGAGAGTTACCGTTATTGCTGGTAGACTTGATTCTATGGAACCGTCTTTAGCTCAATTGCAGGCTGTAGGATATGTTAAGCAGAGCCCTAGCAGGATAATGCAAGGAGGATCACATGATGTATCAGGTAAGAAGGACGACCCGGAAGGGCAGAGCGCAGAACAATCTGCTGTAACTTTTTGTGGCCATGAAAATTTGTCTATAGTTACTCAAGTTTCAGAAGATAGTACTCAGACGGCTAGTTTGGAGAAGAGTGGTTCAGCATTGTTGAACACAGAAGTGCCTTTAACCAGCGATGATGCTGCTAAAGATATCAACAATGCTGTTAATAACCGGACTAGGATTATAAACTTGCCTAAAGCTTCCAACATGCAATCTCCTGATAAAAGCAGATCTACCTCTGGCAAGCCATTTCCATCACGTCCTGGTAGAGAAAGATTTCCAGATATGTCTCTTGAGGGAGACAGATTTCATTCCCGAGGGAGGTGATGATTATTCACTTAAGTTCTGCTTAATGTTCTTTGTTTCTTCTTACTGACAGCTTAACATTAAGTCTTCTAACTTCCTCTGATCTTGTTTATGGCCAACTATGTTTCAGGGATGAACCATATAATAATGATGGTTCCCAAAGGTTTTCAAGAGAGAGGCGTCATGATCATCATTATTATAGAAACAACAGATTAAATTTTAACCGTGGTAGAGGAAGGCTTCCAAGTCGAGCTGGCAATCGACATGGTGATATGGATCCAGAACGTGATTTCCACTCAGATTTTTATGGTGGACACTCAGATTTTGTCCCGCGGCACAAAGGTGATACAGAATTCATGAAAAACATTGGGGCTGATGGCAACTTCATTAATAATAATGGCCGTGGAGGGAGAAAGATAATGGATAATGAGACATCAATGTTTCGCCATTTACCCTCAAGGAGGCACTCTCCTGGAGGACGAGGCATTCAAATGATGCATAGGGTTCCCAGAAATATTGGCGAGGAAAGCTCTGAAGTTGGACTGAGACATTCAGATAAGATTGTGAGAGGAGCCTACCCTGAGGATGATGATGATATAGAGCACACATTCACACGACCTCAGCCTCCATACAAGGGGGTGGATGGTCATTTTGTTCAGGGGCCTCGCAACTTTTCATCCATGCAAAGAAGGGGTCCCCAAATTCATTCAAAATCTCCAATCAGATCTCGCTCTCCCGGTCCATGGTCATCTTCCAGGAGAAGATCTCCAGGTGAATTTGGTGGGCCACCAGAATTGAGTGGTCGGATGTCGCCACCAATTTACAGGATGGATAGAATGAGATCACCTGATCACTCTAGTGGCTTTCCTGAAGAAATGGGGGTTAGAAGACACGCTGGATCCCCTCCATACTTGTCGAGACCAAATGATATGAGGGAAATGGATCCTGAAAGAAATCATCATGTCCATCCCAGGTCAATGATGTCGTCAAATAGGAGCCCTAATGGCCGGACTCTACTTAGAAACAGTAGGAGATTTGGTCCTGTTGATCATCGAGAGAGGGAAGGAAGTGATGAGTTCTTTGGTGGACCCATGCAATCTGGTGGTAGATTTCATCATGATGTTGGTGCTGCTGATGGAGATGGTGAAGACAGAAGAAGGTTTAGTGAAAGACGGGGACCTATTCGCCCGTTTAGGTCATCTTTCAATGATGTCGAAGGTGAAAATTTCCATCTGAACTCAGAGGATGGACCTAGTAGGCCTTTCAGGTTATTTTCTCTAGATAATCAAGCAATGCAGGAGAGAGATAACTTGAGGGACAGAGAACTTGATAGGCGTATGAAGAATCGACCTGTGAATGCTCCTAGAAGAGTAAGGGGTATGGAAGAGCAGGAAGGAAACTATAGACATGGTGGGCAGGTGTATGATGATGGTTTTGATGACATGACTAGGGTGAAAAGGAAAAGATTTGACTAGAATAAATTTGCATATCATGTACCAGCACCTTGGACAAGTGGGGATCTGGTGGAGGTGCTAAGTTAAATATGGCGACCAGCAGGAAGGTCTGGTTTTGGCTGTTAAGTCGGGACTGTGTTTACACTGCACGAAGTTGCTTGTACATGGAGCTATTATAAAAAGCAGCTTTGATCAAGATTTTCGAACTGAACTAACCAGATGATTGATCTGTTGTACATATTTGGGATACCTTGGGTCAATTCTGGATGCTGCCATTCCCTTTTTCAGTTTCATTTAGCGAGCGTGTACTGTCATAATCAATGGTGGGCAGTATTGAGATATTGAGAGGATATTTTGCTTAAGATATTTTCTTGTATATTATCTTGGGGAAATATTCTAATTTCTCAGTTGTCTCCGCCCCCTACATTCTGATCATATGCTCAAGTCGGGGGACTGGCTGGCAGGTATGTAAGAAGGTCAATAATTCAGATTCCTGGAATTATTTTATAGAGCAATCAAGGGAATTTCTGAATGAAATCTAGAAGGGCTTTTAACTTTCTGGTTTGTAACTTCAAATTTTCTGAATCTTGCAAACTATGTGCAAAATGTTTTTTTGCAGTTGGCAGCCACATGGGACAGAAGTTTTGACATGTCACTTCTAGTTCCTGTGCCATATGCTTTCGTTGCATAAATTGCAGGTTGTGCTACTGCTTGCTTCTTATCTGCTGGCTTGAGAAGATATCTAGGCATCTGAAACAGTTGGGGTGCGCTGCCTCCTGGAGAAAATGGACTTTGCTCTGCTGTGAATTAACTTACTGGTTATACACTACATCGGTCAATGAGCTGAGTTTGTGTCAAAAAATCGGTAGCTTTTAGGTCTTCATGCCTTCTGCCCGTGATGTGTGATAACTTCATCATTTGGTGGCTCCTGTTTTACATGTGCAATGGTTGGAGCTGATCTGCAGCATTTGTACCTGGTGATGAATGCTCTCAGTTATGGTCTTAACTTTGAGACGGTGGGATGATGCAGAGTTGGTGCTGTGTTTATGGTTCTATAGATCGTTCCATTTCGAAGTGCTAGGTTGATTACAATAATAGAAGTATAAGGAGGAGAAGCATATGAGAAGAAATTGCAGGCAGTGGTGAAGTCTGCGCAAGTATTTTCTCCCTTATGGTTCCTCACCGGTTGCCGTCACCGACCGGCAACTCCCCGTTGGTGTGTGACACAGCCAATTCCAGGGATCTTGTGTGACTGACATCAGGAAAATGATATTGGAAATAGTTTGATTGTATTCATAAAAGGAAAAGAACAGCTTGGTCACGAGCTGGAGCGGGGTAGCTGCTGTGACTAGATCAGTGTGGTCTCTTAGTTCTGCATTTCATTAAACAAGAAACCACACATTCGCATCACATCCAAAAAGCTTATAATGCTCAGCTATACAAGTGGTGGAGAATGATCCCACTTTTGGCCCGTCTTTAAAGACAACTATAATCAACATCCCACTTTTGTATATATAGCGAAGTTTGATTATTTGGGATATTCTGATTTGGGATTTTTAGTTTAGTTGTTTAATTAAATTTTTATTAGTATCAGGGTGTAATTCATTTTTTTTAATTGTTTTTGGGGGATTTATGGTTTCAAATGAGGGTAGAGTGGTGACCTAAAACCTCCTACTTTATTTGTGTTTGTTTATACGTCTTCTATTACTTGAGGAAGGGGCTCTCTGGGGGGCTGACACGTGGAAGGTTGTGGTTGGGTGAGGAGATCATCCACGTGGCGAAATGGGTATTTCCCTAGCATGGTTTTTGGGTTTGGGGAAAGTAGGTTGGAGATAGATGGACTGTGGGAGGTAATTAAATGAATAATCAATTTTTAATCGAACCTGGCGGTAAACCAAAAGTCTTATAGAAGAAGAAGAAGAAGAAAGCTATAATTTAGCCTTTGATATGCGTACGGTAAATAATGATAATGACGGTAAACTGCTGTGACTAGATCAGTGTGGTCTCTTAGTTCTGCATTTCATTAAACAAGAAACCACACATTCGCATCACATCCAAAAAGCTTATAATGCTCAGCTATACAAGTGGTGGAGAATGATCCCACTTTTGGCCCGTCTTTAAAGACAACTATAATCAACACCCCACGGACCACGGCTACATTGTGGGAACTATATATACAACAATTGACGACAATTTGAGTTGTTATATTTTTGTCTATGATTGGGATGCACTTCGACATTTTGTTACACCACCTATTTTGCAATAAGTTAAAGGCAAAATACACTTTCATAGCCATAATTATTCGCGTTGTGACAAATATAGCCACTTTTTGAAAAATACACTCGTATAGCCACTTTTTAAAACTTGTTTGCTAAATTTAGCCATTTCCGTTACAAAACTTTAACACCGTTAACTCTCCAATGATGTGGATGTACATGTCATCAAATGTATGACACGTGACAGCCACCTCAATTTAAATGATTATTTTAAATAATTTCCTTAATTATTTTATTTCACCACAATTCTCCATTTCAGAAAATACTCTCCCTTCTCATTCTCTCTCTCCCTTATCTCTTTTCCCTCTCTTCTTCTCCACCACACAGCAAGAAAATTTTGACGAAGATGGTAGAAGCCGACGATATGCTACGGACGGGAACCTTCTAGATCCGCTTCTTCGGGTGGGTGGAGAGGCCGACGATCTTGTTGCGGAGGCGCTTGGACCCATTTTCGCCGTCGAAGAGAGAGAGAGAGAGAGAGAGAGAGAGAGAGAGAGAGAGAGAGAGAGAGAGAGAGAGAGAGAGAGAGAGAGAGAGAGGAGGAGAGAGCTTAACCTAGCTGTGAATTTTAGGCCGCCAGTGGGGAGAGTGAAGAGGAAACTTCTACTGGGGAGGATTCAAGACATTTGAATTTGAATTTGAATTTGGATCCGAATCTGGTGCAGAAGGATGAAGTTTGGGAAGATGGGTTTTGGCGGCGAAATCGTATTTTTTCCTACATAATCGAGTTTCTGCTCGATGGGTTTCTGTTAGGGGTCAATGAAACAAGTTTTGACGGTGGTGGGTGGTTGGAGAAGACGATGTGATTCCCTCTGTTTAGCGGTGGCGGCCGCGATTAGTGTGGCGGTGGAGAAGAAGGAGAAAAGAAGATGAAGAAGGCGTGCCCAATTTTATGTATTGTTATTTTTACTTTTTATTGCAATTATAATAGTAAATTAATAAGAAAGGAAACTTTCCAACTAGGATTGGTTTAAACAAAAAATCGCCACGTCACCAGAAAACGTTAGTACAGTCAGCATTTACAATGTTGCTGTTAAAGTTTTGGACGGAATGGCTATACGAGTGTATTTTTCAAAAAGTGGCTATATTTGTCACAACGCGAATAGTTATGGCTATGAAAGTGTATTTTGCCTAAGTTAAATAATGGTAGGGGAGGGAAAAAAGAAGAAAGTACATTGTGACGTTGAAGGCAAGGATTGGACTCATTGGGGACATGAAACACTTCATTTCAGTAAGTAACAAACTGCACATTCTGAAAAAGTAAAAAGTATATGCATCCGGAACAAACAGGGAATATGTTGTTTTCCATGTCCCAGGAAATCAAAATGGTTATTCTTGCACAAGATTGTCAAACCCTTATCGGGTCTCCAATTGAACCTGTTCCCATCTACATCGTACTTCAAAATGGCTCCAGAAAGCTTTTTGGTCTGACCCCTAAAGAGGGAGAAGAAGATGGAGGAAAGGAAGGAGAGGGAAAGAAGGAACGAAGATGGTGATTTTTATTTTTATTTTTTATTGATAAAGGAAGATGGTGAATTAGTCATGAAGGTTAGGTAGATTTTATTTTGCGAGAAATAAGTTTTTAATAGATACATGTAAAATAAATTTCATTTTAGTCGTTAATTTTTAATTATTACCTTATTTGTATATATATTTGGAAAACGTATAAAATGACTCAAACCGGTCAGACCCTGATCAAACCTATAAACATCAAATTCCTTGTTTGGCCGGCTCAATGGCTTAACTCGCTTTGTTCTTGCATCTAGAGTCTAGATAACCACTCTACAACTACACGATTGAAGGAATGGTTGTTTACCCTTGCTGGAGGTAGCTTCTTCTCCAAGTCCGAGCCGATCTCACAAGCTAAGTGATGAGCTAAACTCAAGTAGACCTTGTGAGCTTATTAACAAGAACAACTCTAATCGAGTTCAGATCAAGCACAAGTCAAAATTGCCGAACTCAACTCATTTTTAACGAGCCAAACCCAAATTAAAACAAAACTCAGCTTGACTTCATTCATTCGGGGTAATTATTATAAACGGTCACACAACTTATCACTTACTACAAAACGGTCACTAAATTTTAATTTTGCACGTTTCAATCAAACACGTTTGGGCATATACCAAAAAGGTCATTGCTTCCATTTCCATCCGAAAATCCGTTAACTCAATACAGTCAGTATGCCACATCACTAGAAAACTTAATATAAAATTCAATAAACCAAACCAATTAAACTCAACTTAATCATACTCAACCCACCCTCGTTTGTTCTGGGAATTTCAGTTAATTGGAAGCCGTAGATCTTATTGGGGAAGGAGCATATCATCAACAATGAATCAAAATCTTTGTTGTTCGTTACGACGCCCTCGCTTCGTTTGCTCTGCCGCTCTCTCAATCTCTAATCAAGCAAGACTTCCGTTCCGTGGCGATTATAAACTCAATCTTGCATTTTCCAAATCCGACGATGATGACCCGGGCCATGTTGGGGAAGAGACTGCCCTTGGGATTTTAGGATGTAGGTTTTATTGCCGACGGGAGTGACTGCAATGGCGAGGGACTCAACGGCGAGAATGTGGATATGGTGGCGGAGAGGGCAAGGATAGAGAATTGGGTGGGTTGGATTGGTTGCAGGTTGGTTAGGAGTTTTAATTAGGATTAGTTTTTTTTTAGTATTTTATTAATTAATTCTATTACATGGATGCTGACGAGATAGCTTATTGGACCAAGTTGTCAGATTTTTGGATGGAGATTGACGGAATGACTGTTTTGGTAAACTTCCAAACGTATTTGATTGAAACGTGAAAAATTAAATTTTAGTTACCGTTTTGTATGGGCATTTATGATAATTACCCCATTCATTTGCATCCCAAACACGAGCCGACCTCGACTCCTCTCCTCTCTGGCTCTCTCCAATTCCACGCCAACCTTTGTTGAATTTTCCCAAACCTTATTAACTTATTAATCTTCTTTAATTTTTATCGTCCCTTTGTTACTCGTCTTGCTCCTTTGCTGATCGATTCGCGCGCGTTCATTTACAGTGATTGATTATTTGTTCAACTTTTTTTTCTCCCCTCTTTCTTCCTCTTCTTCTTCCACCCTGTTTCCTTCTGATGTCAATCCGTCTCTGGTATTTTCATTTTTCGTTTTGATCTTTATCTATCTGTATCTCGTTTCCTTCATCCAATTCGCTTTCGGAGGAACTGCAGCTTGCTGAAGGCGCTTTCTTTTGCCCCTTGAAGGTTAGGGTTTTGGCTCCCTATTGTTTAATTTGGTAAGATTGTGCTGGAAATGTTAGCTCCGTCTAAGCTAATTGATTTCTTGTATTTGGCGAGTTCAGGCAGGTTACTGAATGATGATGAATCAGGGAGCTAACGCCCAGGCTGTTGCTGCCGCGGACCCTAATTCGCTTGAGGTAAATTCAGAACTCAGCTTTAACCCCTTATTGCTTTGGAACATTGATATACTGAGGGACTCGAGCTGTGACTCTTATTAGCTGATTGGTCATGATAAGTTATTGAACTTGTATCAATCTTCACTAACTAGTACTGGCATCTATCGTGATGGGAGGAGGTTTAAGTCCAGGGAAATGGAATTCCACTACTTTATCCTAAAATGGCTGGATCTACTTCTCTGAGCTTGTTTCTAGCCATGGGGAGAATGGAACAATGTGATCTATCCTCTAATCTTAGATTTGCAAGTCTTATTAGCTACGGTTTTGGCTCAATTGTCTCCAAAGAGTCCGACCATCAGGCATGCAACTTTTCTTGGTGAAAACAGGCTAACTAAAGCTTCTTACCGTATTAATTTTTTTATAGTATGAACTAGTATGACGAACCGGCCATCTGCTTCTTTTACAGTTCACTGAAATATGCAACCTGCATTGGTTGTGTTATTGGTAGTCAAACTTGGAGATCATGTTGTGTTTTTGCGTCAACTATCTTATATATGGCCTGTCTTTAGTTCTTTTATCACTTTGTTGATTCAGTCAGTAGCCATGCTGAAAGCGACTTTGTACTCTTTTTCAGAGCAGATATGCATTTGATGCAAATCAAGGGCATGCACAGTCATATCTTCCCTCAGCATCTGGGTCTGAAGCTGCTTCATGGACAGTACACAAGGTAGAGGGTTATCCCTCACAGGATGGAGTGCCAGCAAATGCTAATTATCAACATGGTCAGCAGCCAGAGCCACACACAAAAAATGTTCAGGATGGCTCATATGTGGCCCCCCTTTCTAGTTCATCAACTGTTGGAACAGCTAGTGCACCACAAGACTACAATAGTTATACATCATACTCAAATACTACAGATCCTTACAGTGCTTATTCAGGATACTACAATGGCTACCAGCAACTAACTAACAATCAGTACTCTCAGCAGCAACCCAACCCCTCGTACTCTCAGTCTGTAGAAGCATATCAAAACACAGGTGCTGCTTATCAGCCTAATTCCTCATTTCAGAATACTGGGTCTTATGCTGGGACTGCATCTTATTCAACCACTTACTACAATCCTGGTAATTATCAGACAGCTGGAGGCTACCCGAGCAGTGGATACAATAATCAGCCAACCGCTTCGAACAGTGGAAGTTATGCAAATTATACATCCTACCAGTATCCGAATTACACTTCAGATACTTCAAGTGCTTATGGTTCTGGTTCAGCGCCTACAACTTTTCAACAACAATATAAGCAATGGCCAGAGTATTACAGTCAAACAGAAGTAACATGTGCACCGGGAACAGAACACTTGTCTGCTGCTGGTAACAGCAACCATGGAAGTTCACTTCCTAGTGTCTCTGGTGGGTACCCTACACCTACCAACCAGCCTCAGCCTCAGCCTCTCCCTCTGCCTCCACCCCCACCCCCTCCATCCCTTAACCCTACTTGGAGGCCAGAAACCAGCTCATCTGTACTGCCTTCCATGCAGGTTTGGTGTTGTTCTTCCACCAGTTTCGGTGTATGCTAGAAAACATTACCTGTGTTTCCTGGTCTGAAATATTGGGCTGAAAAATTACAGAAAAAAATCAGTTTTAACAGGCAGACATTATCTGAATATTTTGTCCGTGTCTCAATGATCTTCTGCATGTGGTAATGTATGTGATGGTACTAGTAGTAATACTGAGGGGAGCTCTGTTAAAAAGAAAGAAAGAAAGAGCGACTAAGGGGAGTTCATGTGGATTAGTGCTTGGGCAAGAACTTTTCCCGGATCTGTTACCTTGTTTTGTAAGGAGCAGATATAAAAGGATATTGGCTAGTTAATGTGGCAATGATAGCATTGACCATAATTCTGTGTGGGTAACATCAGCTATCAAAAAGCAAATGCTATGCTAATTTGATGAGTTAGCAGTTATCGTAAGAAGGTTCTTCTTGATCCGTTTAACAGAATAATCCCTTAATATTGTTCCTGGATACCCTAAATGAAAGTTGTTCCTTGACATTAGTACAGTGATAGAAGTACATGTTCGTGATGCATATTTATGTTACCATAAGTTGCATTCTTGTCTCCCTGTGGCATAGTTGTATTTTCTGTTGAGGTCACCATTTCCTGTTTTCTAGATCTGCTCTTTTAGTGTTAGGTTATTTTAAAGAACTTTTGTAGTACTGAATGCTTATGGGAAGAGGAAGAATTGGCAAATAAAGATTTAAATGGGGCGGATATTTACTTGGGGAATTTAATTTTTCCGTGCTTCCCCCTCCCCTTCCTCCATTGCCTTTTTTTATATATAAAACCTCCTGCATTGTCTTTCATTTTGCATCAAATAAATGATTCACAGTTTATTCTTGGTACATTGTAATCGGTATTGTCAGACTGTTTGGGTGTATTATTGGTAGCTGAAATCATTTTGGTACTGTATCAGTATATGTGCCAGAATAAAGGAACGTTTGTTCTAGTTTTATAACGTCTATGTCCTCTTGATCCTTATTAAGTATTGTGTGGTTCCATACTCTCTTTCTCTGTTTATTGTTAGATTATCTCGTCTGGCTATTATTGTTGGTCTAACTAGCAGCTCTCTTGTTTTGATTCGTTGTCAGCCTGGAGGAGCAGCCAGTGGTGCTCATGATAATTACTGGAACCAGACAGCTCCAAGTTTTCAAACTCATCTTGCTGCTCCTACTCAACCACTATATCAAAATTCTTTGGACTCAAAAACTTCTTATGAAAATTTTCAGGAACTAAAGACTGCTCCTCAGGGACAGAATTCCCAATATCCTGTTTATCAGGTGTCCCAGAATTATCAACCAACTTCACCAACAGTTCCATCATTTGATGCCCGAAGGGTAAGCAAATTGCAGATTCCAACAAATCCTAGAATTGCTTCGAATGCAGCTCTTGGCATAGCGAAAACAGAAAAGGATGGGTCTGCAGCCAATTCACTTCCAAGGCCTGCTTATGTTAGTGTTGCTGTACAAAAGCCAAAGGACAAGATGTCGTCAAATAATGCTGCTGATCCCATGCTGAAGGTGAAATTTTCTTGCTTGATGTCGTGTGATCAGAATGATGTTAAGATTAGTCATAGCTGGAGTGCTTTAAGATTGTAAGCAATTGTTAATCCTGAGCTGGCAAGTTGGGATTGTAGCTTGTGCAGAACTTCAAAAGCATTGGTTTCAGCACTTTCTATCTTGAAATCAAATGTGTCACAGAGGTCAAGTCACGTTATACATGTAATTAATCCCATTTTGAAATGGAGGGTGGTCCTCTTAGTTGAACCTACCTAATCAAACGGAAACTGTAATGTCGGGGCAGAGTGACCTCTGGGTTTTTACATGTTTTCATCCATTCCTTGAATTTTGGACAGAGTCTGGTCCTCTGGCTTAAACCTCTGGGGTTACTACCTCTAAAGGCAGAATGTCATAGATGTCACAGTGATGATGTAAATTCTTCACTGATTTCATTGATAAACTATGTGGTCCATTGACTTTTGAGTTCTCACAGTTAACGGGCATATATAACTTTGTAGTGTGATCTATGTGAGCAAGTGTGGGCTTCGAACGTGATCATGTTTCGAGTTTTGATAGTCAAAATTGTTCGTTGGAAAATATCTCTACAAACTGTAACAACTCAACTTTTTTTACAGCCTACCATGTACCCCAAGTCACTATGTGGTTATGTTGAAAGGGCTTTTGGGAGATATAAAGATGATGATAAGAAAAGAGAAGCTTGTGAAGCATTTATGAAGGAGGTAAGTTCAACTAATTATCATTCCTTCTAATGAGACCCTGGGAGATAAAGATTAGACTTAGATTCTCATTGACATAGCATTCATGTAATCTGTTACAACTTAATCTAGATCAGATTAATCATCTTAGGTATTTTTCATGACCTGTTTTAACCATTAAGATTTGGGGACTTTTATTACTGTGGGCTATCAGATATGTTTGACACGTTTTCTTGGTACTTCAGATCATCACCGAAGCCATTGCTGAGGGTACACTTTATACTAGAGATTGGGATAGTATGCCTCTTTTCACATTACCAGACTCTCATTCCGTCAACAATGAGTACGTTCCATGCATATTCACACTCATCTGGGACATGTATACCTTGTGTTCCATCTTGAATTCTCACCAGCAAGCCATTTTCTTCCGCTTCCCATCCCTATGATGTAAATCTAAAATTTCATTCTAATTACAGCAATAATATTTGTGCTCTTCCTGGCTAGCAGAAATATACGAAGTCCAACTCCTGCTGCAATACCAAATTATAAGAAGAGTCCAATCAGGCGGTCTAAGAGCAGATGGGAGCCTTTGCCTGAGGTGAAAATGCTGGACAAACCGGTTTCTGCTAGTAACGAGACCGGAAAATTTGGTAGTTGGGACAAAAGGGTAATCATGTTAAACTCTTCTCGATTTCCGAATGGGGTTAACTTGATTTATTTGAATCACTTTTTTCACTCTGCTATTATTCTATTATTTATTTATTTATTATCACTGCAGACTTTCAATGGTTACTCCGCTACCAAGGATAATTCTTTGAGTAGTTTCAGATTTTCTGCATCACAGCAGAAAACACCTAGCAAAAGTGCCCAGAGGCCCATGAAGAGGCAACGTATTGTAAATGGTGCTGGTTTAACTAATAATGATGATGATGCATCAAGTGACGGTGACAAGGATCAAAGTTTGACAGCATATTATTCTGGTGCAATGGCATTGGCTGATAACCCAGAGGAAAAAAAGAGACGAGAAAGTCGCTCTAAGCGTTTTGAAAGAGGACAAGGGCATCGCCCGGATATCAATTACTTTAAACCAAAAAATGCTGGTCCTGCAAACTTGTATACCAAAAGAGCTAGTGCCTTGATGCTTAGTAAGAGTTTTGATGATAGTGCAAACCAAGCTGTCGAAGACATTGATTGGGACGCGCTCACTGTTAAAGGAACATGCCAGGAAATTGAAAAACGGTTTTTGCGTCTCACTTCTGCACCTGACCCCTCCACTGTATGTATTTCTTATTGTGCCTTGTCCTGGTCTTATCTGCTTCCTTGCTTAAGCGATATCATATGGTGTAGACATAGTTAATTTTGTGAAATCTGTACATTTTGCAGGTGAGACCAGAAGATGTACTAGAGAAAGCTTTGTTAATGGTTCAAAACTCTCAAAAGAACTACCTTTATAAGTGCGATCAGTTGAAATCTATCCGTCAGGATCTTACTGTACAGAGGATAAGGAATCAGTTAACTGTTAAGGTGCAATTTCTATCATTCAATATATGAAAGAACTCTCTATGCTTTGGATTATACATTCTTTATTGAGTAGGGGAATATTTATGGTCTATTAATTTCAGTGGTGAGATTGACTCTTTAATTTGTGTGGAAGATCAATTCCAATGACCTTACGTGAAAGGGAAAGTATATGTAAGGCTAGAAGTAATTAATTTTCATAGATTCTTAATTTCTCGATATCCTTAGGCCCCTTGAGCACAGCAGTTATCTAATGACTTTTAGTCCTTCCGGAAATGTTTTGCTGTTTTGTTTTTTGTATGTTACCTTTAGATTTGTTTTTGGATTCTCTTATGCAGTCGTCACTTATGGACGTCATGGTTTTTATATTCTGTAATGTACATGTATATCAGAATTTGTATGTTTTAACCATATTGGTTGTGTCGCATATTCATTTAGGTATATGAAACGCATGCAAGACTAGCAATGGAAGTTGGGGACTTGGCCGAGTTTAATCAGGTTGGTCTCGAATTCATGTTTTATTTGTAAATTGAAATGTGATTTGCTTTGGGAATAAGTGGATCTGAAATATATGCGATTCAAATGAGGGTTCACTAGACATTGTGCTGACATGCGAGTGTTAGGAAGTCTGAGATTGATGATAAAAAAAGAAAAAAGTAGAAAGAAAGACCTTCTCAGCTTAGAAGAAAAGTTTAAAAGAAAAGAAAAATGATGATCGATCTGTTGTCTGAACTTTGTTTGGACTTAACAATTGCTTCTTTTTTACAACTATTAAATCATTCATGCAGCGAGTAACATTACCTTTTTTTTAAGGCATAGCTGGTATTCCTTTCTGAGTGTTTTATGTTTTGGTTATGCTGATGCATGTCTACTTGTTCATAATTTGTTCATGGCAATGGGAATGTGACCTTGATCTTTTAGAACCTTAGATCCACCGGAACTGAAGTTTGATATAAGAAGCCAATCCAGCTGCCTCCGCTTTTCTGATAGATCTGCCTCTTTTTATTTCAACCTCCCAGTGTCAGTCTCAGTTACAGATTCTCTACTCTGAAGGAATCGAAGGCTGCCTCATGGAGTTTGCAGCTTACAACTTGCTTTGCGTTATCTTGCACTCTAATAACAAACGAGATCTTTTGACGTCAATGTCAAGGTAAGAGTTATTCTGCAGCACGTTGGCGCTCGGATGTGTAGGTCTGCTCTCCATTAATCCATTTTAGTCATAATGGTGGGGAGTCTTTCCGGTGATGTACATGCCATCTTGTTGGATGCCCGTATTACCACGGCTGTCTTAGATCGCTGACACAAAATAATGCCTGGTGGCCTTTTATGTTATTTGAGGATCAAATATAGGTTTTACCCATGGATTACACAACCGTACCAGATATCAAACTGGTGAGACTAATGTTACAAGGCAGAATAGTGGTACAAAACCAAGATAAAACCAGTGTTGTGATGCTGTACCATATAGGTCGGTTATACCAGTTAAGCTATGTACCATTGATGAAGCTGTTATGGCTTTGTAATGGTTTGTTATCGTACTTATATTATACTTTGATCTGTTAGTGTCACTAGTTTGATATCCAGTTTTCTCAAACCATGGAGAAAGCCATGCCAGCTTTGTCACCAGTACAATCAGACTAGTGTTAGGGTACCAGAAATACTGGTTAGCCTTGATCCTATTTTCTCTATCGCTTCTGTTCTTGAATATAAATCTCATGGGCTCAAAACATGTGCCTTCTACGTTTTCTTCGTTCCCAATTTATATCCACATTTAACCGCAGTGCTAACGGAAATGTTGCTGTTTTGAGATTTACAGATTAACCCAAGAAGCGAAGGAGGATGGTGCGGTGAAACATGCACTTGCAGTTCGTGCTGCTGTTACTTCTGGAAACTACGTTGCATTCTTCAAATTGTACAAGTCGGCTCCCAACTTAAACACCTGCTTGATGGGTTAGTATCATTGTTTCTTTTGCACCTCCATTAGAGAATGTGAGATCCTTGATTACTTGAATAATCATGGGATCTTTATGCTTCTGTGTCCTTCCAGATCTTTATGTTAAAAAGATGCGGTACCAAGCTGCAGTCTGCATGTCGAAGTCATATCGCCCCACGGTACCCATTTCGTACATTTCCCAGATCTTGGGCTTCTCCAATGCTACTGCTGAAGGAAATGGGGAGAAGGTGTTGACTGGCTTGGACGAGTGCTTAGAATGGTTGAAGGCGCACGGTGCTAGCCTGATCACAGACAACACTGGGGAGATGCAACTCGACGCGAAGGTAATTCCAATCTTTCTTTCTATTCATTTGTATAGCTTTTATACTCATTTTGAATCTTATTAGTATTGTTTTGAGCTTGATCAATTCTGGATCCTGCAGGCATCTTCGTCCACCCTGTTCATGCCGGAGCCTGAAGATGCTGTCGCTCATGGAGACTCTAGCCTGGCTGTCAACGATTTCCTGGCACGTACCTCGTAACAATGCAGAAGGCTGTTTGTTTGTAGCTTCCCTCCTGCTAGCTCAAGAAACCAGTGGGAAAGAGACCAGGGCAAATCTTGCCTGGCCCTCGAAACTCGAAAGTGCTCAGGAAAGGGTGAACATTTTTTCGCCACTGACCTGATAATCTCGAAGAGGGTTATGTCGAATGGTGTACCAAAGGGCTCTTTGCGTCGCTAGATGTGTCGAGTTTGTTCATTGTTAGTGAAGCTGTAAGAAGGTATTAGGTGACAGACTAACATTTTCGAGCAAATACGAAAAAGCTCAATCTGTTGTATTTTAGGTTGATCCTTTGAAACCCTTCCCTGGAGGCATTCGATTCAATATCCACATTCCAGTCGCGACTTTACACACTTGGATTAAGTTAATTGTACAGCCAAACCTGATGAACTGATTCAGCTACATTGTTTCCCTGACAAAAGAAGATCAGAAACTCAGAAAATCCGATCACCGCCCGATTCAAGGTCCACATTGCTCTGTTTGGCTCGCTATTCTTTTGCCGGAGACGATGAAGACGACTCTGGCCAGACGCTGATCTTCTCCTTCTCGTACTTCATGTACACCGCCGACACCGCAGCCACGAAGTAGATCTGGATCAGGACGATCGACGGGGTGTGGTAGTTGAGCACGCTCTTCCCCGTCGCCAGCTCCACCAGCAGCAGAGCCGCCAGCCCGAGAAACGCGATCCGGCCGTTCAGCCTCTCGCTGTACGGCGTGAATCCGAATTCCACTTTCAAGCCTCCGGAGACCGGCTGCTTCAGCGGGACCGGAGGGAGGTAGAGGCTGGCTCCGGAGGAGGAGGAGGAGCTCGAGGCTGCCTGCTTTCTGGCCTTGCGCATCTCCGCTTTCTTCCCCGTTCCGGCTCTGTAACGGAGGCGGAAGTTGGAGATGCGGGAATCGAAGGGGTCCGATGAGGAATCGGAGCTCGGAGGAGCGGATTCGGGTTCCGTTGAGGATTCGGAGTTCTCGTCGGCGGTGGCGCGGAAGGGGGAGGCGTGTCGCCGGTGTTTGGAGGGGAAGGATACGCGCGGAGATGATGGGAAGAGAGTTGATGCTGCTGCGGTGGTGGAGAGTTGCAGAGACGGCGGAGCTGGTAGAGCTGCCATTGGATAAGGTTCTTACTTCCTTTCGTCTTTTGCTCTCTCTCTGCCTTCCGTCTATTTTGTTCTTTTTGATCGATTCCAGGAGCTCTTTTCTGTGGAGGAGATTTTCCATTTTGGGACGCAAGCGGAGGGAATTGTTCGTTCATATTTTGGGCCTGAATGTTTAGAATACCCGGCCCAACAGAATATGTTGGACAGTTACGAATCCAGTTGGGGGAAAAAGCCTGCAATTGTGATGGACGTCAGCAGGACAATCCGGCGTGACGTGATCTTGACGTACAGACTAAAATTAACCAACAGGAATACTAATGATAAAACTGACGAGTAACTAGATGCGGAAATCGATAAACAATCGAACAACCGATGAATAGGCTTTTTGTGTATGAAGATGGATAGACCTGAAGAAACACGGAAGCGTAAAATATGGAAGGAAAGAGTAAAATTTTGAAGACAACAACCCGATCTCTTTCAAGATAACTCCTCCTAGGTCGTGCTCCACATCATCGGCTAATACCTGTCTCAATAGCAGTTGAGAATCACCACAAAAATTCACAATAAACCATCGTAAGTTGTGGTTGATGGTATTGTCTTTTAATTATGAGGTCAAGTCTTGGTCGATTTATGTTGATACGAGTAGTAGAATGGGTACATGTGGTAACGCAGCCATATGCATATTCAATTCAATGTCTGGTCTTTAGCCAAGACTTTATAATTTTGTAGGCATTATTTCTTGCGTTGTGTGGAAAATAAATGATTGCATAATATTAATAATGCCAACCATATACGTTAATACACATAAAGATTCATTTGGAATAATGGAAGGTTTACGGCAAGGGTCAGATTGCAAAGGGGCCTGGCTGGCTGCTCCATCTTTCTCTTATTTTAACGTTTTGTGCTGTCAAACAGAATTAATTGATTAGTCAAGACGTACGTACTTAATGTATATATGGATTACGATATACCATATCATTATTAACCATCAAATTCTGCGTTACTTTAAATTCTAAAAATTTAAATGTGAACCCTAAACCCAAATCGCAGATCACTAGACCCTTCAAATCAAAGTAATATGGAACGATTCTTGTGGAAACTCAGGCATATTATTATTATTATTATTATTATTATTATTATTATTATTATCACAACTGATGACGATGGACATTATTCTTATATGATTCGATTGCTCAGATGACGATTATGAGACGGGTGCATAACGTGCACACAAAAAAACAAGTGCACCAAATACCAAATCATATACAAGAGTCAGATTGTTGTACTCCTTGAGTATATGATAGTCCCACGCACGTACTCCCGGTACTATATAAAATAACAATCGACAGTTCTTATTCATCAAAGTATAAATCCAACAACTAAAACATTTGGAGTACGATATACTCGAGGAGGTCGTGACTTGTGAGTGAGTCGTTCATTTAATGCATGGCTTGGTTTCCACGATATATGCTGTTTGGTTCTTAATACATCACACACGTAGTTAGTATATCCAGATGATGTGTGTACGGTAATTGGCAATAGAAATTGTAACGGTGTAGAACATGGTCCTGTACATATATATTATATGCACCTCAAATTTTGCATGATACGTACTTGAACGGCACTGATCATCATCATCATTCATCGTGAGGTATTTGGCGCACGCAGTGGTTGATTGATTTCAACGGCTGTTAGAGCTTAATCATGTGCCGGCCAGATCGACGAAACTGATATGTCTCTCTATGCTAATCGGGCGAGGTGGGGCGGGTACCACGATATTGATGTCTAACCCCATACTATAATGCAGGCAAGTGCGGATAATACTCGCGCGCGGGTATGAGAGGCTGGTCGACTCACTCTTACATGTTATTTGGAAAAAAAATATACACGCAAAATTTTACTTTTTACGGTAAAACGAAGGAAATAACACTTTATGAATAGAAAAGATTAATAATAGAATGGGTAATTGAGTGTAACTAGCTAGTTGAAAGATCAATTCTAACTAGCTAGTTGAAGATAAGTCAAAATATGAGAAATATGAATGGATACAGGAAAAAAATTGAGATATACTATGGACGAAGAACCGGGCGGGGAAGGGCGGGACGAAAGTAGATACTCATGCTCGTCCCACGCTACTGCGGATTGGGTAATACTCGCCCCATCACTCAGTGGCGGAGCCAACAATCGAAAGTACCCGTGTCCTCTTTCTATAATATAAATAAATTATTATTTAATTATTTAATAAATATAATTAAACTAATAATATCCAAATAATTCATTCACAAATAATAAATAAATATTAGAATAATACAATTATTATTTTCATAAATAATCACAACGCATTTTCATATTCTCAATGTATCCAAATAAGCAATAATTAGCAAATTGATCGCAATTCGATTTTGAAACTTGGTTTTGATATATCTCAAACTTGAAAATGTTCTGTTTGAGCCATCTCGCTCCGATATGAACAATGATATTTGTTGGTGTGGGTTGACTCGTCATCCATTCGTCCGATCTCGTCGGGAGGAGTGAACCTGTGAAAGAGCCGGGGTTGCCCCCGGATTAGGCTCCGACGATCAAGTCAGTGTATGTTTGTGGAGAGAGTTGAGAGAATAGATAGAGAGATAGTAGAAAGCGGAAAGTGAGCAGAGAGAGAAGAAGTCCTCCTCCTTGGTGGGTTTCATACCTTTATATACTCGTAGCGGGTTTAGAGCGTCATACGTTGTCGATTGGACGCGGTATTACTTAGTCTCTGCGGGGAGTCTCTTAGCAACACCCCCAACAATTGCCCCCCAAGCTGGTGGTGAGTTTTAACTCATCACTAGCTTATATTTTATTTTTTAAATATTCGTCGGTAATTTTGGGTGGGGCCCTATGTACCCCAGTTGCCCCCCAGCTGGTAGCGCGTTTGACTGACGCAGTGCCAGCTTCTTGCATCTTGTCCCCCAGTTGTTGTATTTTATTAAGGCGTGTGGCCTTCACCCATTGTAGATTCTTCATGGAGCTCTCCTCGTCGAGGTGTTTTTTAATCCTCAGTTTGGAGTTCTCCTCGACGGGGTTTTTAACCCTCAGTTTGGAGCTCTCCTCGTCGGGGGTTTTAACCCTCAGTTTGGAGTTCTCCTCGTCGGGGTTTTTAACCCTCAGTTTGGAGTCTTCGATGCTCTTATTGAAGTCTTATATGTGTGCTTCGTTGAGACTTATTTGTAGATCTTCGGTGCTCTTATTGAAGTCTTATTTGTGTGCTTCGTTGAGACTTATTTGTAGCTTCTTCATGGAGGTAGTCGAGCGCTCCCATGCTGTTTGGTACGTCTTGCCTCCCATTAGCGCCATTAGCGCTCATGAAAGTAAAATATTTCAATATTTAATAATGATAGAGGGATAGAGTACTTAGCTTTTGAGTTGGAGAAGCCGCGCGAAGAGTTGTTAAAATAAGAGTGCTGCGCCAATGAATCACAAGGCGTGTGTGTAGCCTTCTGGTAATGCTGCTTGTTTGGCGGAGGAGTGGCGCGAGTTCAAGCCCTTGCGGTGACGATATTATTTTTAATGAGCATTAGTGGATGTTGGGCTCTGGAAGTGATGCGGTGCGGGCCGTGCATTTGGAAGCAAGCCCAACATCCGCGAGACTGTTGTTGGCGCGGAAGTGGGGCAAAGCCCAGTGTGAGGCGCGGATTGCGATCCAAGACCTGGGCCGCGAGATAGAGGTGTGGCAGGCCGCGGGATGACGCTTGGCCCACTTAACCGCCAGTTAATGATAGGAACGCAAGCCCATAGGGCTTGATGTGGCCCATGTCAATGGGTTGAACGAGTCTGGCGGACCTGGGCGAGTTGGACTCCGCTTGGGCTCGTTGTGCGGGCCGTGCCCAAAAGTTTGAGGCGGAGTGGGACGGTTGGTTGATGTTGGGCCGCGAGTTGAGTCAGGTGCGACGCGGGCCTGGATCCGCTCTTGGCTAGTCAGAGTGAATTGGGCCGCGAGTAAGTGATTAGATAAAGATCGCCGCGCTTTAGTAGTAATAACATCCTTTAGTCGGCTGGTTGACTTGCACGCGTTGTGGAGAAATGGCGTTGGTTCGAGTACTGGCGGCAGTAGCATTTTTTGAGTGCTGCGGGAATTGGCGAAGTGGGCTGCAACAAGGCTGTGGGTTGGAGACGCGGCCCAGTCTCGAGTGGGCGGGCCTGATGATAGCTGAAGGCTGAAGCGGCTAGGGCAACAGGTGGGAGTTGAGAAGTATGGAGGCGGGCAGTATTCTGCCGCCATGATAATAATAATAATAATTTTTTTTTTTTACAATTTTCGTTCTCGCATAGAGCAGTCGCGGCAAGAGTTGGAATTTCTTCGCTTCAATTGATAAGTCGTTGTGCTGCTCTCAACCGGCGCCTTATTTGTCCATCTTGTCGCGAGCATGTTTACGGGGGAGACCGAGGCGCGACCTAAATGATTGTGGAAGCGGAGGGAGTTGCGGCGCGGAGGGAGTTGCGACGCGGAGGCGGAGGCGCGTGACGAAGAAGTCGTACGTAGCCGCGTGGGGAGTACGAGGGCAGGCGCGGGACAGGTGGAGAGCGGAGAAGCGCGTTGTTGACGGAGGCTGAGATTGAAGGTGATGGCAGACTCGTGAATCACTGGGCGCGCGGCAGCGGAAGAGGGCGGAGCTCTACTTCTCTGTTTTGTGGACCCTGAAGGTGGATTCATCGTCAAGGGAATTTTAGATCTTATTTCCCCGATGGCATATTTTCTTTTGCTCCATGGATGATCGCCAGCTCTGCCTTTGGCGGAGAATCTCGACAGCTGGTAGCTTTCACGACTTTTTTGAGCGCGAATGCATCGGGGGAGGGAAGGAAGTCCGTAGATGGATGCGTGGTGGCGGCGGGGATTCAGTGACACTTTGAGAGCGGGATGGCGGCGGGCTCTGGTGTGACGCCAGCGGGGAAGCGGAGGAGGGCCGATGCGGGCGATTCCGATGCGGTTGTGTCTCCGGCATGTAGTCAACTTGCGCAAAGTTTGCCTCGGTAGCCCCGTTGTCTGTCTCGGAAACTCTGCATGTCTTCTTTTTCTGACAGAGTGAGCAAGTGGCTCTCAGAGGGCGGTCCCGTCAACTGTTCCCTCTTTCTTGACTGTAGGGCCCAGGACTTTGGAGATTCGGAGAGAAGGTGATGACTGATGTGGCGTCGGATTCTTCTTTCCCGTTGGAGCTTATACCATCTCCGATGAACGGAATCGGGAAATTTTCCAAGCTCT